AAAAGAAAATTTATAGTGTCAGCCCTTTGTTAAAGAATGCGAGAAAAAAAATAGAATTAAAAAAAAAAAACTTGTCACAAAGTATGAAAGTGTCTACCATGACAGATCTCGCCAACATGTGTGACATATATTTTTTTTTATTTTATTTTATTATTATTATTATTTTTTTTTTATGACAGGTGTCCAGTGACTCTCAAGCTGGTCCTGTAGGTTTTCTTATCTTATCTTATCTTATTCACCAAGAAAAAGACAAAAGAAAGTGACATTGAGTAGAGGTGCTTCCCCTTCCAATAACATTTCCTCCCTCTCTCCTCACCGTCTTTCATATCTCAAAAGTCTTCAATGGGGGTAAACGTAATGATTTCATTAGTCATTTATATTCATTCCCACTGTTGTAAAAATGTAGTGATTCTGATTATTATTTTGGGGCATCTGGGACAGATTAATTGCATTTACAGTCTTTCCAAATTGACGTATCGCTCTAGTTTTTGAACGAAGGGGTTTTATTAGGAGTTTGAAGTCACAACTGTCCACTAAAACAAAGTTTCCACTGTGATCTCACTGTGGAAAAGCATTTTTGAAAAGCGAGTAAATGGACTTTCGCTGTGTCTACCTTCCTAAGGTGCGTCGTCACCCAGTCATTGCTCTGCTCTCTCCGAGTCGCCACTGATCTGTCATTCCGTTCTCCCCTCTCACCCCACTCTGTTGTAATTGCACGATTCTCAAGTAGCCCCTTTGTTCTGTTTCCTATTATTGAAAATGTTTGCGGTAACGTGGTGTAATAAGACAGCTTGACACAGCGAGCGATGTTGCAAGAACGCATGCAGGCGGAGTTCATTAAAACAGAAACTTTGAATATAACGGGATTAGTGGCGTACCTCGTCTGCTTGACCTAGCAGAAGGTACCTTGGACTTTTCTGCATATGTTGAGCAGGGTTTGTCCTCCTGGTATCACGTGGCACATGTACACGCACTTTTAAGACATATATACACACAGTTAAAACAAATGTTAGTGCTCCAGTGTGCACACTATTTTTCAGCCCGTGCGGTCTGCCACACAGATGTTTTCTGCTTTTTCCAGTGGGAGATGCTGGCTTAAACGAGAGCATCAAATCATTTTGTCACCATACGCTGCGCATTATCAAGGCCAGACACAGTCAATGCCATACGCACTATTTTTTGCACATAATGTCTTTGGCTACAGCTATCAAACATTTTTAGAATTTAATATTCTACCAATGATCCCATTGATTATTGGAGTAATCTCATTAAAAAAAAGATTTTGTATTATTAAATACATAACATATGCATGTCAGGTGCAGGTAATAATGTTGCACGGGGTATTCATTGGACTGGTCTCATGCATGTTTATAAATTGTGGGAGCAAGCCTGAGTTAAAAATCATTATTTTATTATTATATGGTATTATTTTGGGCAAGTTAACTTTATTTATGTCACACTTTATCAGAAAAGAGTCTCAAAGGACTTCACAAGCCCACAGTTCACAAAATTCAATGACATTCTCCCATCTCAAAACCCCCGTTCGAGCTAGGGAAAGAAGGATTAAATCTTGAAAAGGGGATTGCTCCATTTGTGATCCGCTTCCAGGTTGACCAGGCTGCAATGGATACAACATCAATCGCATGATGAGATGCTATAAAATGATAGTTTAAACAGCATGGGGAAGGGGGGAGAAGTGAAGCGGAGGTTAGGCGGGCTAAAAAAAACAAATGTCAGGAGTAGCGATGCTCCGTCGATCGGTGGCTGATAATTATTGGTTGATATTCGTGAAAAAGTGCTTGATCGGTGAACTCGATCAAAAACTTCAGGCCGATTGATCACCCTATATATTTAATTACTCTGATAAGGTAGTGACAAATGTATTCACTGTTTCTCTCAGAAAGTCAACAGATTAATCGATTATTTCAGAAAAATCAGTAGTTTCAGCTCTAAAATGTAACATTTTACACAGAATCCACATAATAGTTATCGGCCGATCACACTCATGGATGATTGGCGTCGGCAGCTTAAAACCCTGATAGTCAGGAGGTGTGAGGCAGGAAATAGACTAGCCGCATAGTAAGTATGGTATGCTCTACTATCTGCTGACTGCTTTTTCGTGATCCGACTCATCAAAAGTTTTTTAAAAATGTAGCCACCAACGTCACGTAATGTATTGTGCTCCTGTTGATGAACTTTCTTGCATGAATAGGAAGTGGTCAGAAGAGATGGCAGAAACACTTCAGCGTCACGTGCATGTCATTGTGTTTGTATCTTGTGACGTAAGGGTCTGCATGGGTTTCGTCGCATGAATTATTCGAATGGTGCACGCCACACCGAATGTATTATTCATGCAGTGCACTGGAGCTTTGAACTTGAACTGGGCAAACTCTGCCCTTGCAGGTATCCGGTGTGGGGAGTTGATTCCGAAGCCATGTTTAGTTCAGCGCAACTGTTTGTCGAGAAATCTCTCACTGCTGCATGTCTGCTACTAGTCTCAGCTTTTTCTTGTAACATAATGCAGGTATGCGTGAATAGATGTTAATTTATGACACAGGTGTCAAAGTCAAGGCCCGGGGGCCAGATCTGGCCAGCCACATCATTTTATGTGGCCCGCGAAAGCAAATCAAGCATGTCAAGTTCCATGATGCGTGCTAAAGTCTGAACCAAAATTTCAAATTGTCGTATGTAATCCACAATAACAGTCATTATTCTTGACTTCTGATTTTAAAACTAGTTGTCCATCAATTTGTTGTGCGCTGTATATGTAATATGTGGAGGTGATTAAACATTTATATGGTTTCCCAAAATTCATACCAGCCCTCCAAGGGAAACCGTAACTACAATGTGGCCCGTGACAAAAATGAGTTTGACACCCCTGATTTATGACATTGTGCCTGCAAAATTATGACCTTTTAATATTATTGTAAATCACAATAATTTTATGCACAGTTAGAACATTAGCGCTGCGCTTAAATGTCGGACAGTAAAAACTGGACTTCAATAGGGATCAACTAAAAATGCATCACACAAAAGTTAGATCATAAAAACAGCAAAAATCAATGTTTTAAAATACACAGTCCAGAGATATTCTACTGTAAAGTTAAATACAATACCAATAAACTGAATTTAAAAAGTGTATTGTACTAGATTAAAAAAACTAAAAAAACAAAACCAAAAAAAAAAAAAATCTCTTCAGCCAATTTCAATGTTTTTTTTTTTTTGTTTTTTTTTGCCCCCGTACCACTGGATGGAGCCTGCATACCACTCACGGTACTTGTCCAACACTTGGAAAACTTCTACCGTTTTTATGAATTTTACTGCAAATATTTTTGGAATAGTGTATTCGAATTGATTGATTATTTATCGCCATACGTACATTGTCCCTCAGTAACCTACGCTAATGCAATAATAAAGTTAGGAATGAAGCTGAATATTTGCACGAAAAACACTCCCAGGCCATAAATATGAAAGAATCAAATGAAAAAGCGTATGTGCGTTAACCGAACGTGCCTTCTTGTGCCGCATGAACATGTCTTCCGATGCCAACCGGCAAACTCACTGCTGTCCGTCACCTCGGATTGTCATATGTTGGTGCTGTCGTTAACGGAGGACCCCCCTTGTATGTGCCTTGTATCGGCGTTGTGGCTGGGGAAAAAAAATGTGGAATTGTGTCTCTTGAGCCATGTTGTCCAGCCTTCGCAGAAGAGAAGCCATACCGATGTCTCTGTAGCTGCTTCTCAAAACAGACAGATCGGGGTTCCGTTTTGCTTTGCCCTCCAGGCACGAGGATGATTGACTGACTGTGAGGCTCTTAATGTTCTGTCGGGGAACATTGAAAGCATCCTCTGGTTTCCATTGGCATTTCACAGCGGCGCGATTGACGGCATCACACAACGAGCCTGTCATTATCATCCCTCCTGTGGTATAATTGCCTTTAGTGTTGAACAAGCGGCTCCTATCTCGTGTGCTTGGGGGTCTCCGGCTCACTCGCCGTCACTCTCCACTCATCTCCCACGTCCGTTAAAGCGAGCGGAGAACACTGCGTATGTTTTTTAAGCATGGCCATCTGTCAATAGCACTCCCAACTAAGTGGAGTGGAGGTGTGTGCAGGGCCGTTTTTTTTTTGGGGGGTGGGGGGTGCTTTTGTTGCTCTGCGAGGCCCCCGTGGCTACTTCATCCCACCTCTCCATCCCAACGAGACAGCTGACTGGAGCTCGCTCTTATCCGTCGTGGAGTAGCTTGTAAGCGTGTAATGCGTTAACTTTGGGATGATGATCTGCATAATTTATTTCCTGCCCCCACAGGGGCCTGCTGGAGCATTAATTAATATCAGGCTCCTGCCAGGATCCCAGTGTGGGACTCCTCAAGGCTCCTGGTTTTGGCACATGTGGAACTTGATATGCTATCGTAGTAGATCCCACTTTTTTGACTTTAACCCATGCTTACTGTTAATTCTCCATGCATGCGTAGTATGGTCCAGGTCAATTTTGACCCGGTGAAAAATATCCTCATAATAATTGTTTGTATATAATTATGTCTTACAGAATTTTCCAAAATGTATGAATAACCTGTCTCGCAGTAATCCTGTAACTGGTTGAGTAAAACTGTGCATACATGGTGAGAACCAAGACATTTATCAAGACTGTTTCAAACGCCGTGCCCACCGTACTCTAAATACACCCATATAAATTACATCACCTGGACTCTTATAGTTTCAAGATTCTCCCGTGACCTCTCAAAGGGTAACGGGCATGTTTCTGCTGGGACCTCCGCAAAATTTGTAGAACAATATTGACATGAAGTATCCCACCACACCCATTGACCTTATGCGTATGTGAAGAGTGAAAGGAGGTAGAATACCTCCCTATGACAGCTTCTCAGTCCAAACCGCAAAAATACAAGCCAATGTGTTACTGCAAACTTGTTCTTTCTTGTTTTCTGTTTTTCTATGTCTACTCACCTTCTCCACCTGTCTCTCTCTGTTTTTGCCCCCGCAGAACTCGATACGGCACAATCTGTCATTGAACAAGTGTTTTCTCAAAGTGCCTCGCTCTAAAGACGACCCGGGAAAGGTGAGATTGAAACATTTAAGCTAATGCACCAATGAACACATTAACGTACGTTCATGCTTTTCTGACAATGTTATTTTTGCTAAATTAAGGCTTTCTCCATGTAATATAACAGCTTCCGTTGTCGTAACCATCCGACTTCTCTCCTCGCAAAATAGTTTCTCTCTTCAAATTAAGACCTTTCTCTCTCAACCTTATTTTCTAGCCTGTAGTGCTCAAACCTATTTGTTCCTGCTGTTGATATCCTTGAAGATCAATAAAGTATCTACATAACCTAACCTAATATAACCTGTGTCATAATGCAATAAAGAATACAACTCAAGGAGCATGTTTGATATGTATCAACAGCTGGCAGTAGTCAACCTTTTTTTTTTTTTGCACAACTTGTCTCTTTTGGAAAAATGTTAACTTTGAATCCCTGCCAGAACCTTGACAGGAGAGAAATGCATGGCACGCTCTTAATCTATTAGGAACCTTTCTCCCCCGCAGGATTGCATTTCATATGTAAGGAGAGATGTTTTCTTCTTTTATTATTGTGCGAGCTCAGACAGCAGATGAGGGTGAGATGAGAAAAAGTCAGACTGGTAGAGACCGAGTCAAAACAGGGTTTAAGTAAGGTCATTTCCAAAATTGTTGCATTCCCTCAAGCATTCAGCACCAATCTCCTACTTCACTCATTTTTCTTGATACTGTTAGTTTGACATTTGAATCTCAGCGGGACCACCTACTGTTGGGTTTGCCGGCCCCTTTACGTTGCTGTCTCTTGTGACATCAAGCTGATAATTAGCACTCATGCGCTGAGGTGGCTCATGACGGTGCAGCCACTATATTTAGTCCCGCGTTGTGCATGCTGTAGGTCTAATCGTATGAATCCTAACCTACATTTCAGCCCGGCGCTATCTGAGCGTTTGCTACACATGATGGGGAGAAAGAGAAAAAAAAAAAAAACAGGCACAAATAATTACCCTCTCTACACACACACACACACACACACACACACACACACACACACACACACACACACACACACAGACACACACAGACACACACACATATGCATGGAGAGCTACGCCTGGCTGTGCACTAGAGGATGGGGACTGAATGCTAATTTCGTGTTTTGCTGTAATCCTCTGATATTGACACTCCTGGGAGCTGCTCCACTAAATACAAAATAATCTATTGCGGTATGGATCCCATTCCAGATGCACGGCCAACGTGCTCGCATCCTTAATGGCTGCTCTTGATATGTTGCATCAATATTGTACTGTGGCAGGAATATGAAAACTGCTGCTCGGATGAGATAGGAGAGGCGAAGTCTGCGTCTGTGAGTCTGAGAGATGCTCAGGATTAAATAGCGCTCGTTATTGTGCAAAATCACCACCTGGCTGCATAGAAATCAGCAATTGTAAAGACTGCGGTCAATTGTGTGCTATACAGGTGAAACGGGTTGCAAATCTAAAATGACATCTTTTACTCGATCGATGGGATTTCCCATATATTTGCAAAAAATGTTTCCCCCCCCCATGTGTCGCTTGTAGAATTTTCTGAAGGCTGAAGCAACATTTGGAAACAGTGCAACAGTACTGCTTACTACTTTACAGATGCACTGTCAATAAATACAAATATTTGAAAGAAAAAAAAATCATGTTTTCAATCCAAATAGATTTGAGTCAATGAATATACAAAGACATCAACATGGACAACAAAATTCAATCAAAACATTTCAAGCTTCATTTTAAATGGAGAACATTCACAAGGCTTTAAGTCGTAAATGTAACTCTCCTCTATTCAAGCTTTTAAACAACTTATAAACTGGAGCGCTTTTAGTTGTTCCTGCTTGAAGGTCCAGACTGAGCTCTTTCTGCGACTCGAGAGCTCAAATCTGAGAAGTTATTCATCCCCGTTAAGCCTCCATGATCGGACAGAGATTTGGAGGAACTGATTATTATAAAATGATGATTGCTGATGACTCAATTGAGTCAAAATGACTTGGAATTTGATTACATCATTTTGCTGTCATAAGAGTCTGACTGTTTACCAGATTTACTATTGCCTTTTTTACTTAACATAAAACTGGTAGACAGTAGTGCGCGTAGTGCTATATTAGTGATGCAAAATTCCATCTGTTTTTTTAATTTGGAATATTACCTCTTCTTGTAACGTTTCAACCTTTTTCTTGCTTGTTATATTGCAATGTAATTGTCATATTACACTATCATTTGTGCAAACCCAAACAGATTCTGCCTAGAAAAAGACTTACCTCAATTATATGTTAATTATTGTACTATTGCACTGTTATTTTCGACCATGAAAGCATTCATTCATCCATCCATCCATCCATCCATCCATCCATCCATTCATCCATCCATCCATCCATCCATCCATTTATTTATTTATTTATTTGCCTTGTTATTTTAAAACCTTGTTCTCCAAAAGTTATCCATTTTTCCTTGTAGCGGAACACAGGAAAGCATCCATGCTGGTTGGATTATCTTGTTACTTGAGCCAAATTTCAACTCGTTTATCCCCAAGACTTTAACATCTTAAAAAATGTTTCTCGCCACATCGCGCAGCTTTGTACCGGTATTGTAAAAGTTCAACTTTTGGCTTTGACTCAAAAAACTAAACAATATTTTTTTTTCCACAGAGCGACATTAATTAATATCACAGTGTGAAATCTGCCAAATTACGTTTTCAGTGTCATGCTACTCATTTTGTCTCGAAAGATATCTTACTTGAAAAATAGATGGGGGGGGTTTCCCCCTCATAAGTTAAGTATACAATACAAAACAATAAGTTGAGTATACATTGTATACTGCGCACTGTCATTTCTGCAAAATTCAAAAACATTTGTCTTGTTGTATTACAGACTCATTCTGGCAAAATAATCGACTTCACCTCATTGTGGAACGCCAGTTTTACTAACACTTGAAATTTTCCGATTAAATTTTTTTCATTGAAGTTGATATATTCTATGAAAAGAAGCCGTTTTTGCAGGTAGAATGCATGTTTTATGATAAGGCTGCCGTTTTGTGACGGCTGAAGAGAATATGGTGGCTTGCGCTATGTTCCTGTGGACCCAACGTTATGTTGCAGAATATTTGTGAATAATTTAATGGCTCTTTATATGTTTTTCTCTTTTCCTGCCAACTCTCTGGGGGTGGGGAGAGAAGAAAAAAAATGCAGCAACTCTCTCTCTCTCTTCCCACGAGGGTTAACTTTAAGTGTTCTTCCCCGCACTAATTAAAAGCAACGGAACCCATCCAGGCTTTGTCTGTACAACTCCTGTTTTTGAAACATGTGCGTTATAAGACACACATGGAGTGACTGCGGTGACAACACGCCTCACCTTTATCAATGATGTAGAATTTCTAATGAGGCTGCTGCATTTTTATCACCCTTGTATTCCACCCCACCCCTCCCTTCCTTCTCGGCTTGATTGCGCGTGTGAATTATTCTCAACCCCTCTGAGGAGCCGTTAATTGACCCCAAAGCTTGGCGCACATTAAAACATATCATTTCACATCCACACATCCCGCCCACCCCTGATGAATATAGGCCAAGCGTGGCTTTTCATTTGAACAATTGCAGCCGCGCCAGAGTACGTGAATTGTGAAATAAGATTTTTTTTCCCCCCTTTAACAAGGGCAGACCATTGTGTACAATGCTATTATTTTATGGATACTCACTCGGCTTTTCTGGTGGATGCATCAATTATTCTCTCTGCCGGGGAAGTCATTTTTAAAAGGTCCAGATCTCACTTTCTCTTGACAATTGAGATTTTTTTTTTCTTATCATGAAATATGAAGAGTAAATTCAAAAACCCGCATGGCCTTAGGTAAAAAAAAAAAAAAAAAAAAAAAAAAGACTTTTTGTGTTTTGTTTTCTTATTTTGCAAGCGTATGCTGCCTTGTTTTGGACTTGGAGGAAGAACACCATCGGAAAAAAAAAAAGAAATTGAAAAGATAAATAATGCAGGCTCGGGCTGTAGAATAGCATCCACCAAAATTCCCATCCCACCCTCCTCTAGTCAGCCTGCACTGTTCTCTCCTTCATTAGCCTCTCTCGCCTCGGCCAGAGCGGCTCTTCCTCATTTCCCGGCCTGTGAGCCACCTTGGCAACGGTGCCATGCTCACCTGAGGCAGAGGAAGTGATGATTCAAGGAAGAGCTTAGCGGCAGCTGCCTCTCGCTAGCCTCCAGTGGTGGTACCCGAATCTTTCTTTACTGACATAAACCCACCCATGTTCCACACAAGCAGACATAGCGAATGCAACGAATGTAGATTTTGGCGTTTATGCTCTCCAAAAAAGTGACGTAGGGCTAGTCAATTAAAATGTAAATGTCTTTGTAATCAAAGAAAAATTCCGAATGTGCTCAATAGCATGGTGAGTTCCTAAATTATGAGAGCACCCCAAACGCACCGTATGACATGAATGTGATTTTGCTCTGTCTGAGTGGGCCATAAACCGTTTAATGAGACCTCAGTTGGAGTTTACTCTAAAACTAAACACTGAAAAAAAAGGATTACACACATTGTATACTACTCATAAAGACTTAGGCTTTCGGGTGAAATTTATGAGAACAGTTCACACGACAATAATATCACATGAAAGAAAGCTATTTAAGTAGAAGGATGCTCTGGTGATTTCCTCACCACAAACAATTCCTTGAAACAAAAGTTAACAATAATGGTGGGTACACCACAACAAAAAACTTCAACGTCTCAGTAACTCGTCATGTGCCCTTGAGCATCAATTACAGCTTGACGACGACGTCTCATGCTTTTCACACGTCGACTCATTGTCTGCTGAGAGGCATGGCAGCTCTCAGGTCATTGAGTTTCTGGGGGGCAGAATTTCGAGCCTCGACACGGCGACTCGGCTGACCCCACAGGATTCAGGGCTGCGGAAAGTGCAGGCCGTTCCATTTGAGGTACACCAGCCTCCCACAGCCATTCCCTGATAATGCGACCCCGATGAGCTGGAGCATTTGTCGTCCATGAAGATGAAATTAGGCCCGTGTTGTTCATGTACGGGCACAATCACTGGATTAATCATGTTATTCAGGTAGTATGGGCTTGTCACTGGTCGCTCATCCTGCGTAATTGCTCCCTGGCCAATGCAAGACGATGCCGCCTGTGCTTGGTGGCGTGGTCAGGTACCCTTGCAGGTTGTCTAGCACGCAGACCATGCTGATGTTAACGGTTTCGAATGGTCTGACGTGATACTTGGGTGCCTCTCACCTCCCTTAAACGTGCCTGCAGTTAAGTGGCATTCATCATCCAGTTTCTCTGGGCATTGTTCACAATGTAGCGGTCATCAGCATGGGATGTGGCCACTGCACGTCCACTTCTACAGCTTTCTGTGACTCTTTCAGTCTCTCTGTATCTCTGTTGTAACCTGCTGATGACACGCTGTGACACTCTAAACTCGGGGGCTACTTCTGTCTGAGAAGGTCCTTTTTGAGGAATCACAATGGCAAGGCACTGTTGAGCCATTGTTAGGTGTCGTCTTGGTCTCATGATGTCAAAATGTGAACAGCATGATGAGGACGACTGCTTAAACATCAGCTCTAATTGAACCAGAACACTTATTGGTCAATTCAAGGATCAAACGTGAATTTTGCCGTTCAGCTTCTCGTTCAAGAACAGCACCTTGTGCAAAAAGTACTGGAACATTTAACAGTTGGACATGTGCATTCAAAAGATAAAAAAAAGGGTCACATTAATTTCACCTCTAAAGGTTTGAATGCATTTTCGGCTCGTTCTGAAATTTCACCTGAAAGCCAAATATCCCTAAGCTTTTGTGAGTAATATCTATACTGTGTGTGTGTGTGTGTGTGTGTGTGTGTGTGTGTGTATTTTTTATATATATATATATATATATATACACACACACGCACACACACACGCGCACACACACGCACAAGACATTTTTATTTTAGCGATATCGTCAGTGCTAATGCTAGCAGTCAATGTAGACTCCCATTGACGGGTTACTAGAAAATTAGCATTGAGTTCCCCATATAACGAACATTCACACACAAATGCTTTCAGACAAGTCAATATAACTAAAAATATTCTTCCTGTGAAAAAAATGAATTATGTTAATAAAACCCAAATACGACTTATTTCCTCTACTCTTAATGTAAGCGTGTACTCCAAGCATACACAGTACTACACTGCCTTCTAAAGGCCAAGACGCACACAGCAAGAACAGCCGGTATTTATTTGTATGTATTTATCTATTTTAATCGCTATATTTTAAAATGTATTATTAGTTTTACTTGGTTCATAATTTTTGTTTGGTTGTTCTTTTAAATTAGATTTAAAGTTGAGTGGTATTAGTTGAAGAAATAAAAAGTTTTGAAACCAATGAGTCATCGTGTTTATTAATCGTGATTTTATTATCAATCCAAATAATCCTGATTATTAATAATAACATAATCGCCCAGCCCTAGCTTGATGGTCTTGTGACACCTCAGAGAGCACTCTGAGGCAAGTGCAATTTTTTTTTTTTTTTTTTTTTTTTTTTAATGTGCTGACAGTGCTCTCTTTCCCCCGCAGGGCTCTTACTGGGCCATTGACACCAACCCAAAAGAGGATGCCTTGCCAACACGGCCCAAGAAGAGGCCACGGTCCGGAGAGCGGGTGAGTGTGAGGGGGGGCTGGGACTCTTCATCATCTTGTACTCTACGCCAGTGTTCCCAACATTTATTGAGTCGAGCCACAGATCACACAACAAAAACATCTCATGTCACAACACCACATGTACCAGTAACAAAAAGCACAGCTTTATTTGAATAGCATAATTAAAAGTACAGCATTTAAAAAGCATGAAAACGCAAAACGGTTGAACAGTTAAACCAATGAAGAAGAAGTGCATGCCATCCGTCTGGTGCACTTAGGCGGAACAGAGAGAAAGTTGTAAGTTCCTTTACATAAATGACCAGACGACTCAGTGCAACTCTTGCATGCTAACTCAATTAAACACCTCCGGTTGGATATATAGTGTACAAGTAAAGGAGTTCCCTTCCTTTTGGCATGCTATTGCACCAGTGTTAGGGATCGCACTCAAGTCACAATCAGGCAAGTAAAATATTAATGGACTATGGCAATAATGAGCCCGCTAAAACGATAAAGTAGTCCAAAGAGGTTGGTCCACGGTAATGCATGCGCTGCAAGAGAGCATTAGTTTGTCCCACTTACGTTGTATGAAGATTGAATGGAGGTGAATGTAACTATCAACGATACTGATTTGGTGTAGCATCGAATGCAAATAAGCATTGACAATGCACTGCTGGAGGGGCAGTTTTGCACATTACACTACATTACAATGGACACAAAAACAATTACTCCTTGTTTTTGTTGTTTTAAATCAATAAAAATCGATGAAATATTGTGAAACATTTTTCAGCCCATTCCTACTAAGTCACTGTGTTTAAAGAGGTATTTTGTTGAAAGTTTATTTGACTTTCGTAGTTGCGTTGATCTCTTGTTTCAAAAATAAACCAAAAATTGAGTTTTTTTCCTTATTTTAAATACTAAAAAGGTGGGGAAAGAGAAGAAAAACAATTCAGTATATATTGATCATTCAAAGCACAATAATAAATCGAATTTTTAAATAACAGTGGCACATAGAAGCCTCCCTCTTGCACATACATCCATTTTGGATTGGATTGGATTGGATTGGATACAACTTTATTGTCAAATGTACAGCACAGATGAAATTTCTTCCCTCTCAACATAAAACAAGAGGAGCCGCTGCGGGTGTCTGCGCCGCCATCAAAAGAAAAGTTTACAAAAAATGACAAAATAATACAAGACATTTTGCCGTTAAGATCCATCCTGAGCTCACATATTGGCTCGTATTAGATTGTGCACGTGTACCTAATGAAGTGTCCTGTGACTGTATGTCGCAAGTATTCTTTTCCTTCTGTCTCTTCCATTTCCTTTCTGCTTCTCACAGTCTTTCTCCATCGTTCTTCTCCCCCCACACACGCACGCACGCACGCACACACACACACACACACACACACACACACACACACACACACACACACACACACACGGACTTTATGTGACTGCCTCGCTATTCTGTCACAAAGCGGGCACATTATTAATAAACGGTACCCCAGGTAGCCTTTACACATGTTATAACCTGACCATACCTCTTTTAAAAAAAAAAAAATATTTTTTAATGAACACATTTAATGCAGAGCACTACTCTGAGCTTTTGGCTTTTTAAATTAGGGATGGTCCAGTGTTACACACAGGCTTTTAGTGGAGTTGCTCACTTGTGATCTGACCTCCGGGCATCCCAGCGCTGCGGCCTCGGGAAGGCTTCCTTTACCATGTGGCTGACCGCAGTCCACTGGGAAGGGGAGGTTCCGCCAAGCCGGAGTTTCGGGGGCAGATTTGTGCACATGCCACTCCCATTGTCTCCTCCACACATTATTCTTGTATTTAAAAAGCCATTTAAAAAAGATGTATTTTATAAATATTAACTTTTTTTTAAATTGTCTAGCAAACATGTATACTGTATTACATGTGCAAATACATGTCCCGGGCACATTTTGACACTTTAAAAATCAATTCGAAAAAGTTTCCAAAATATGTTGATCGAAGAGGAATTGTCTTATTTTTAAATATAATACATTTCCCCGCCACACGTTGACAACGTATTGAAAATGTTTTGTATTTCTCAAAAATATTTAATCATGCAAACTTTATTTCCTTCGATTGATTAGCAACCAGTTTAGTGTGTAACCCGCCTCTTGCCCAAAGACGGCTGGGATATGCTCCACGGTGAGGTTTAGCGGTACAGAGAATGGAGAGAAGGACATATTTTTAATGTCGCCATGTATTTATTTGTATGATTTTGTAATTGTTTAATTTAATGAGAGAGAGAGAGAGAGAGAGAGAGAGAATAATCCTCGATATATTTTATTGTTGTATTTAGTTGATAAATCATAAATCCAAATATATGTCCTTGTAGCATGTTAATAGAGTTTTACAAATACGTGTTGAAAAATATATTCTTAATATATTTTCATAAGTGGTACTTTTCTATAAAAAAATGTTGATTCAATATATACGAATACATTTTGACAATATCAATATTTTTCCATTTGAATATACTGTATATATGATTTCTGTATCTTTCAATCTTATTTAGGAACAAATTTCATCTAAGAAAAAAATAAAATACATTTGTAATTATAATAGCATTATGTCTTAATACAAATATTGTAAATCATTTGGTCATTTTATCAACCATTTTTATTTAATTAGAATATTCAATAAAATATCCTTAATGTTTATCAATTGTACAAATACAAATTCAATGTATTCTTCATATTGCAGCATGTATCACAATGCCTGCTGTGGTGCGTCTCTGCTGTGCTTGTATGTAGGCACGGCACAAAAGAAAGTGACGCGTGTCGGTTCTGTCGCCCCTTCCCTCCCTCGCCGAACAAGGAATTCCATTAAGAGTCTCAGACGGCACGAGTGGGAGTTTGGGAAATCTCATTTAGTGTTTATCATGAATTAAAAATGGTATTGTTGGCAGCCAATCCTCTTAGCGTAAGCACTTTTTCGGAGAGAGACTGCCGCGGCGGAGTTATCTTTGACGACAGCACACACAGCGGGCACGCATGGTGTGCTTCATGACGACGATGATGATGTGCGTTTCTTCGGTGGGAGGCGAGGTTGGGGATGAAAGCCATCTCTTGTCCTCCCGCGAAGAAACGCGCTTGAAATGTGACCTAAATAATAGGTACGGTCTTCATTTTGCGGCAGGATGCGAACAAAGGCCAAAAAATATCAACCTGCTTGTGTTTAATAATTGGATTAGGTTGGGTTTTATTTATTTCTTCCCTCTCTCTGTCTCCGCATCCCACGTCCAACCCACCCCCCACAGGCTTCAACGCCATACAGCCTGGAGTCGGAGTCTTTGGGGATGGAGTGTATGATCTCTGGAAGTGCCTCTCCAACGCTGGCAATCAACACTGTGACTAACAAGGTACTACAGGCGGCCCTCCAGCCTCCAGCTCCCCCAACACGCACCTGGCTACGTGGCTGCACCCTGACCCCGCCCACTTCGTCAACCTCCTACTGAACAGTTTCCCCGTGGAGAGAGAAGCACTCCACACACGCACACCCTCACATGCCTAAAGCTTATCCACAACCCACACCAAAATACACAAGGAGGTGCACGTCGGAAACTCATTCTTGCACAACTGGCTCCTGTTGTTGAGCTCGGCAACATGATGCCCGCATGGGTGCTTGCAACATAAAACCTGGCCATCTGATATACTGTACACCACACACACACACACACACACACACACACACACACACACACACACACACACACACACACCTGTTCACATCTGTTCACATTTAAGATAGAATATTCCCACACAGCGAACCTGCTAAGGCATGGTATCAGACTAAAGGCCCGCAGGCCCGGTCCTTGACGTCGTCATACCGAGAAACCTTTCCAGAATTTGTCTACTCGTCCGTAAAAATACAACTATTCCAACTATTGAACATTTTTAAGTCAATTATGCAACCGATTACTTCGATTAGTCGGACAAAAATTGTTTCGGATTTATTAAACAACATAACGCACATTGGAGATGCAGGTTTTATACATTATTTGTTTATTCCACACTGTGACTGAGTATGTGTGTGACTTTAAAAGAAAGGCCTGGCCTGGTGAATGATGTGGAAGTCAGCGAATGACAGTGTAGGGTTGGTTCTATTGAGTGAGTAATCGTTAGACAGTCTGCATACTGTTGATAGCCTGAGCCTCATTTTTGGCCGCGGCGGCTCATAAATGAATGTGCTTATGAAGTGATTTTGTTACCGTTTGTTCATTAAAGTGACTGAAAGTGCACAATACCTTCTTCCAAGCAGCCGTAGACTATATTGAAGTAGCTAACATTAAGGGTGTGCATCTCTCCAATAAAAGACAATTTGATATGTATCGTGATACCTGGGGTGCGATATGATTAAAGGACGGGTTATTTTTGAAGTGGAACGATTCAATCCGTGTTGATTCAGTGGGATTACAATTCCATTCGATGTGGTACGGCTCAGTTATAGAGGGTATGATGCAATGAGTTTCTTGTTGTGAATTTACCATATGAATGTGACCCGAGTGAGGAGAAGCAGTTTAGAATACGGATGGTTGGGTGAATATGTCAGTACACTGAAAAAAAGTCCTTAACTTTTGGCCGCACATGAAAAAATAATTACAATGGAACCAAAGGATGGGGTTTTTTTCAGTGTAGGTTAGTTTAAATGTGTTCTTCCCTTCAAGGATAGCTCTCTCCAGTCAAAGATGAATTGATACATATCTCTAAAGTGGAACGATTCGATTCAATACACTCACATCTTTTTAATCAAAACTGATGTTCCGATTCAAATCTTTTTTTTTGGGCTACCCCCCTAGCTAACACCAAGTCTGTACATTGTTTTTGTCAATCGTAAACGTGTTGTTGTGTTTAATTTGTTGGTTCAGTTTTTCCCTAGACACGTTGCACTTCATCTTTAAATCTCTAAGTGTCAGATGGTTAAAAAAATTGTCTGCGTTGTACGCGCTCTTTCCATCATGCTTGCTCCCATCGCGCCAACATATTTCTTCTTGACTAGGCCCTGGAGGCTAACCCAGCTGACATTGGATAAAAGGCGGGGATTTGAAGTCTCATGGAAGTAGTTCACTGAGGATTGCATGGGGGGAACGGATTGGCAGCACCAAGGTGGTCGCACGACAAAATAAATGAATGGCATTAAAATATCATGACTCGTTGGATATACCACACAGTTGTGTGGGCACAAACTAGATGAAATAATGTTGCACTTTTTATTCGGTTTAAAAAAAAAAAAAACGCTTAGGACTCCTCGCACATCCGCGAGTAATGCTGCGGGGAAGGTGAGCTGGTTCGCGCGAGTGTGCCATTCACTCTGAAATTGAAATAGGCTTTTTAACCTTAAGCTCTCATCCTCCGGGCCCAATGGGGGCAGCTCTCAGGAGTACTTTTAAAAAGCCTGCAAGAGTCACTTATTCATTTGCAAGCGAGCATTACCCAAAAAAAGAAGAGCGTACAAGCATGCAATCCTGTGTGTGAATATGCTTGTGCGACAGGGGCCTCTTAAGCTCCTGAGTTGTGCGGCGAAGGGCACGGTGTCAGCGTGTGTTGTAACTTGTGCGCGCATGCACGCAGAGTATGTTAGCAAGGGCTTCCACTTGTTTTGACAAGCACCACACATAAGCATACATGCACTTTTTCATGAATCTGTCTCCTTGTTGCGCCCTCATAACAGTTAAGATTCCCGGCCATCTGTCCATCAGATGGCTGTACTGCCAAAGCTTAACTCTAAACAAGATTAATTATCCCAAATCACGTCAAGATATGCTTGCTCTTTGTCTGGCAAGATATTTCCTCTTACACGGCAATTTTTGTCGTATTCTGCTAGCTACGAGTATTTTTTATTCAAGATATTTATTATTATTGAGAGGTTGTTACTGGTTCTGAGTAAGTTTAGCTTAAAATTAAAAAATGCCATATTTCTATGGTATAAATAGTGTAATATTATGACAGTGGTGTAGGTTTGCCAAGTCAAATGTTTCAATTCTGTTGGCAGATTTGACCTAAAGTTCCCATATATTGTTACAGCACTGGTCACCTTCTTCTCTTCACTGGGATGTCGAACATGAGCGGCACCTCGTCCATGTTGGTCATGTCGATGGAACGCATATGTTTGTCGGCAATCTTTTTGTCGCGTTTCAAAATGCAAAGTATGCTTGTCCCTCATCGCTAGTCGGTATTCAGGAGTATGGGGATTGGTTGAGAGACCAGTCGGCCAGGTGAGGCCAGTTGAGCGGCAAAATAAAGAATTAAAATCTCCAAGAAAGCATCTTTATTTAATCTAACGCAGAACATTTGACTTTTTACTGCAGTAGGAGCAGAAGATGACTATCTTTTCCTTGTAATCCGCCGGATGTTGTTGCGCCGCCTTCGTCCTTGCCCGGATGTATAGATGGCGCACCAAAGCACCATGGATTAGTTGATTTTGAATTCCCTCGTGGCTGTTGGATTCCCATGGTCCTAACTGATTGCTTGCAGTTTAAACTATGGCTCGTGAGCGTGTCTCTTCAGAGTTGCCATTTTGTTGTTTTGCACAATGCACCTACTGGGGGTGTGCCTTTCACGCCCACCCTTCCCACTTTAACGTCTGCATGCTCTTCTCAGTTACGTCAGCGTTTAATCTATACAAGCAACGTGTCGGCACAACATCAGTCTGTCAAGCGGACCACTCATCATCAAGCGGACTCTTACCGGGCGGCACGGTTTTGCTCACTTGCATGGGGGGAACGGATTGGCAGCACCAAGGTGGTCGCACGACAAAATAAATGAATGGCATTAAAATATCATGACTCGTTGGATATACCACACAGTTGTGTGGGCACAAACTAGATGAAATAATGTTGCACTTTTTATTCGGTTTAAAAAAAAAAAAAACGCTTAGGACTCCTCGCACATCCGCGAGTAATGCTGCGGGGAAGGTGAGCTGGTTCGCGCGAGTGTGCCATTCACTCTGAAATTGAAATAGGCTTTTTAACCTTAAGCTCTCATCCTCCGGGCCCAATGGGGGCAGCTCTCAGGAGTACTTTTAAAAAGCCTGCAAGAGTCACTTATTCATTTGCAAGCGAGCATTACCCAAAAAAAGAAGAGCGTACAAGCATGCAATCCTGTGTGTGAATATGCTTGTGCGACAGGGGCCTCTTAAGCTCCTGAGTTGTGCGGCGAAGGGCACGGTGTCAGCGTGTGTTGTAACTTGTGCGCGCATGCACGCAGAGTATGTTAGCAAGGGCTTCCACTTGTTTTGACAAGCACCACACATAAGCATACATGCACTTTTTCATGAATCTGTCTCCTTGTTGCGCCCTCATAACAGTTAAGATTCCCGGCCATCTGTCCATCAGATGGCTGTACTGCCAAAGCTTAACTCTAAACAAGATTAATTATCCCAAATCACGTCAAGATATGCTTGCTCTTTGTCTGGCAAGATATTTCCTCTTACACGGCAATTTTTGTCGTATTCTGCTAGCTACGAGTATTTTTTATTCAAGATATTTATTATTATTGAGAGGTTGTTACTGGTTCTGAGTAAGTTTAGCTTAAAATTAAAAAATGCCATATTTCTATGGTATAAATAGTGTAATATTATGACAGTGGTGTAGGTTTGCCAAGTCAAATGTTTCAATTCTGTTGGCAGATTTGACCTAAAGTTCCCATATATTGTTACAGCACTGGTCACCTTCTTCTCTTCACTGGGATGTCGAACATGAGCGGCACCTCGTCCATGTTGGTCATGTCGATGGAACGCATATGTTTGTCGGCAATCTTTTTGTCGCGTTTCAAAATGCAAAGTATGCTTGTCCCTCATCGCTAGTCGGTATTCAGGAGTATGGGGATTGGTTGAGAGACCAGTCGGCCAGGTGAGGCCAGTTGAGCGGCAAAATAAAGAATTAAAATCTCCAAGAAAGCATCTTTATTTAATCTAACGCAGAACATTTGACTTTTTACTGCAGTAGGAGCAGAAGATGACTATCTTTTCCTTGTAATCCGCCGGATGTTGTTGCGCCGCCTTCGTCCTTGCCCGGATGTATAGATGGCGCACCAAAGCACCATGGATTAGTTGATTTTGAATTCCCTCGTGGCTGTTGGATTCCCATGGTCCTAACTGATTGCTTGCAGTTTAAACTATGGCTCGTGAGCGTGTCTCTTCAGAGTTGCCATTTTGTTGTTTTGCACAATGCACCTACTGGGGGTGTGCCTTTCACGCCCACCCTTCCCACTTTAACGTCTGCATGCTCTTCTCAGTTACGTCAGCGTTTAATCTATACAAGCAACGTGTCGGCACAACATCAGTCTGTCAAGCGGACCACTCATCATCAAGCGGACTCTTACCGGGCGGCACGGTTTTGCTCACGCCCAAAATATCAGGAAAACTGAAATGGTGAAAAATTGTTTAATGGTATACTTTGAAGCTCCACAGTTGATTACTGCATAGTTCCGCGTATTTCAACAGTTATCTTCAAACTTAGTACTGTATGTCATGTATTTAAAAACAAATCTCTCAATTCACGTTACTGTTACAATTTTGTCATATATATAATATAATTTGAAATCATCACAAATTGCATTACTTATTAAAATGCTTGTTTTAAGACCAGTTTTTGCAGTTAATAGCAGGTGGAAATGGGCAACAAAAAACATCTTTTGAGGATTCATTTATTTTGTTCCCGCCAGCATGATAAAGGATGCAGTAGACATGGACTTGCGCTATGTAAAAACCTTCTTTCTTACCGTCTCAACACTGTAAACACGCGCCAGGCAGGCCACGCCTCTTTCGGCACAATGTGCCAAACCACAGGAATTCCCTGTCTGTGCCCCCCCCCCCCACCCCCCTTTCTATTCCAGTCGCTGTCCCTCATTCCCGCCTTCGTGGACAAACCAATGGCAGCCGCGGAAGGCACCAGCGAGAATCTCTATTCTTTTCCGCGGGCCGTCATGCATTCCACTCCCTCTTTTTTATTTTGTGTGTGTGCGTGTGCGCGTGCGTGTGTGTGTGTGTGTGTGTGTGTGTGTGCGTGTGTGTCTTTCTTTCACAAAGACTCACATTTTTCTCGTCCACTGAAGTGGTCGTCAGCATTGGCATGAACGTGATGAAGCTGTGGCACAGAGGTGTGATGATGAAGGCTTGGAAGTCTGTTTGGCCTTTTCTTCCCCGTTCCTCTTTGCGCTGTCCTTGCAGTCCAAAGACACCTAGTTCAGCTTTGATTTCCCAATGTCTCATGCTCTCGATCCAAAATAATTTTTGAACAAAACTTATTACACTACTGAGAGGGGAAGTAAGATCTGTTTGCTTGCGAGCAAAAACAGGGTGTACACATTTCAATAACTGAGCCAAATTTGAGCATTTTTCATTTTCAGATGTCATTAAAAGATTATTTTGAGTGATTATACTTTGGTTAACGAAATGATGAGAGTGAATTTTTTTTTTTTACTTGATCTTGCCTTGAAATGCTCAAGCCCTGACAGTCGGAAATGGTCATATCAGGTTACATGCATGCTTTTACTCGGGCCAAATTTGACAATTTCTCCCCCTCTTCACATCAAATTTAGCATGGACCCAATCCTTGAACATCCGTAAAAGATTTTCCAGAGTGATTACCCTATGATGTGATAAGAGTCATCTTTTCTCTTTTTTTGTGGTTGCAAAATAGCCAGGACCAACATTTGTAAATGTTTAAAATGGAATACATGCATACTAACAATCAGGTTGAATTTGAGCTTTTTTTTTTTCAACCCAAAGTGACCAAAGTGTGCGAATTGCCCGATCATCAGATTTTCCTGGGTGACCACCCTGTGGAGTGTGAAGAGTAATTTTTCCAATAGTCCGGCCGAATTGTAACATTTTTCAGATCAGTTATTAGTATGCCCCTGAATGATTATACTGTGGTGTAGGGTGTGTGAATACATTTGTCTTCCCCGACTGTCTCAAGAAACCAGTCATCGTAATACCTCATTTGAAGCGGGGTACACACATACCGATAATTGGAAGGAATTTCAGCAACACGCATACCCATCACTGGAATGAATTTCAGCAATTCAACAATCGTAAATCGTGTTTAAAGGGGTTTCCCAACGTAGCGATAATCAGATTGAATACTGTATTCTCCTGCCTCTCACAGGTCAGTCTTGGTAGTGCGAAATTTGGTTTGGGGGAGGAGACTATCACACTATGGTTGTGTGCCTGCTGATGTTAGCGTCGTGGAAGCGCTTGCGCAAGCTCGCATGTGCCTCCGTGTCATCCTTTTTTCATGCAGAAATGTGCGCGCCACATGTATGCGAGTCCATGTTGCGTTCTCTGGGGGTCTGCCTAAAACCACAAAGCGGCAAGGTATTAAAATAATCACACTTTACGGGTGAGCAGCGTAAAAATAGATTGCGGCGGGCGACTTTTATGACTTCACTGTGCATAACATTTATGTTTCTGTGGCACCCTGTTTTTGATTAGCATGGCGAGGCTGATTTTCATCGAGTTCCCCTTCACGCTAATGAACACGGGATCCGAGCCCACACTGAGCGAAGGGAGGCTACAGTCCCCTAATGAGCTCCTCTCTCTTTCCTCCTCTCCCTCTGTTCCTTGAACCTTGTTGGGTTTTGCGTCTAAGCTTGATCTCTCTTCCTTTTTTTTTTTTTCTCCCCCATCATGATTTTTCTATTCACCAGCGAGCATATTAAAAGCGTATAATGATGGGGCTGGCCTGCTTTCTAACCAGTATTGTGGTCAGCCCGGCCAATCTGTTGCCTCTTCCTTTGTGGCCTCCGTGGCTTGACGAGAAGACAAGAGAGGCTTCAGTGTAGCGCCAGCCCAGGCTGCTCGCCTCCAGGCTACAGCCTCTGCTGCCCCATTGTGTCCAGCACAGGGCCCGCTCTGTTATGCTGGCTGATGAGCAGAACCCACCATGCTGCTCTTGGTCATGGGTGGACACGCGTGCAACGCACACACACAAACACACACACCTACGCACACTAATCCAAAGGAACGTCGTCGGTGCATTGATGCCATTCCTTTCTCACACCAGTTAAGCCCAGTCACTATTTTCCGGATACTTTCAAACTCAATATGCGTGTCTTTCTTAATCCAGTGGAACCGCTGATGTTGAACACAATTTGGTCCAATTTTGTGCAGATTTCAAAAGACATTTTCTCATCAGTGTAGAGAGACAATGGAGCCCTGAGATTCGAGTTGAATTCCTTCTGTGAACATGCTTGTAACTCAACACACCTCAGTTTTGTTCAATAAATGAATGGGAATGCCATTTATACATTCCTGCCTCCCTAAAAACACAAACAATTTTTTTTAATTTGGAAAAAAAAAAGCATTATGCAATTGTTTTACCTATATGTGTAATGTATTAGTGTATGTTTTTAATGTGTCATAACTTTGGGAATGTTTGTGTGGAAGAGACTAATGCTTTCACGCCAACTGCGATCCAGTCATGTCACAATGACCGTCACGCCTAATGACCGAGTTTTTACAACTTTTGAGGCATGGTTTACGCACGACTGCGCATGAGTTTGAGTTCAAGTTTGTTGGAGGATGATTAAGATTGTCCTGCTGAAGTGCTTCGGCTGGTTGCTGCTGCTCTCATGGAAAAGGTCAGCGTCAGCGACGACTCCGAAAATCCTTTGTTGGCTGTCTCAAACGAATTCGCGGTCGGTGAGCAGATGCAGCTGACATCGCCACCAACATGACCTTTACTGATGGGAATGTCTCAGTTGTCTCGAGACTGCATCCAACTAGAACCACTCCTCTTTCACACACACACACACACACGCACACGCACGCACACACGCACACAGAGAAAAGTGAGAAAGTACTCTGCTATTTTGACATTGTCACACGCACGCACACGCACACACCAGATTATCCCGGTGCGCTTCACACCAATCATCATTGGAATGCACCATAAGCAAGAATTGAAATGACAATGTCATTTGTGTGTACCAAAGCTCACGTGTTTGTGCGAATGTGTGTTTCAAGGTGGCACTCTACAACACGGACCAGGAAGGGAGCGACAGTCCGAGAAGCAGCCTTAATAACAGCCTCTCCGATCAGAGCCAGGCCTCCGTCAATCTCAACAGTGTGGGCAGCGTGCACAGCTACACCCCGGTAAGATGGGGCTGCACTGTTTTCTCTTTTTTTTTTTTGTTTTTTTGTTTTATTAAGGAGCCAGGAATGACTTGATCCAAAATACGGTTGACTGGAGTGGATAAATGAATGCCAATCCTGGCAGGGGCACATCGACCTTTAAATAATAAGCAGTTGCTGCAGCGAAAAGAGGAACAATAGCTGTGACTTTTGTGATGTTCACCGACACACACTAAAACATGTTTCCCTGCTTTAGCATTTTTTTCTCACTCAAATGTCCGAAAATTACTGTAAATATTATTTGTTGGATTGTGTCACTTTGCCAATCTAGCCAAATTAGATGAACACAAATGACAGTTACACTTTAAAAAAATAGCCTATTTTCATTCAACACAGCCAGCATGGTTTAAAAAGTTCCTTTTAAATTGTGTTGGGATGGATGTGTGATTCACGACGCCATTTTCGATATATTATGTTGCCAAAAATACATTTGTTTGGGGTTTTTTTTCTGATGCTTTTCTGTTCTTGGCAAATTTAAGTATCACAAATAAAAATTATGAATTTTTTTAAATAGCGTGTATTCATTCAACATAAAAAAATAAATGGCACAAAATGTCAAAATGATTTTTAAGAACTTGCCTGTAGGATGTATGCAACAGAGTCCTGGTTCAGTTATGAGTTTTGAAGACTTCGTCAGACTGCACTATTCACCCTTTTAAAAGCAACACAATGAAGTGAGGTGCTTTGGAAACCTGCTGTGCGTATACATATTTTATTTCATGATAATAATGAGGGATTAGGGGGACTCAGCACATTGCAAAAAATAACCTACTTTGTCCCAGTGGGAAGGGTGTAATTTGCAAGCTGCATAATCTCCCCCCACCCCCTATGTTTTTTTTTTTGTTGTTGTTGTTGTTTTTTTTTTTAATTCAACTTCATTCTCATTCTGTATGCAGCAGCCGACTTGTATTGTTTCCTGACAAACTAATGCAGCCTTGAGTAGCTATGAAAGTCACACAGAAAAATCGATACAAAGCTAATAATCTCCTTTTTGATTGTAACTGTCAGAGAGCTACTCAATTAACAATGTTGATTCTCACAGTTTCCATCCATTTTGAGGTGGTCATACATGTGAGTTTCGTGAAAAGAAAATCACTGCCTACCTTCGTCGAGACCTGACGCGGAGGCCTGGGACGCACTTTTGCAGCATGTTAACTATAGCAGCTCACGCATACCGTTTTAAAATGCTTCTCTCGGCCCTCCAGATTCCCATTCTTTGCCAATGCCCTCGTTGAATTGTACATGAAACAAACTCTGACTGAGAATAAGAACAATAAAAGATTTAGCACAACAGCTCTGATCGCAAGCTGCAATTGCAGACTGCTGACCACTAACAACTTAGGTTAAAGGTGACCTGCTTTTTTAATGTAATTTTTTAAAAATACTTTTTTGTGAAAGTGAGACTAATAGAATGCAGTGTGCACTAACACAAGAACATATAATATTAGTTACACGCACACAGACACAAACGTTTTGGGTGGGGTTTTTTTTCCCCCTCTACACCCTGCGAGCTACCGGTCGGTCGCGATCGATGTATTGGGCACCCTTGCTCAAGGTCATATTGTTGTCCAATGGTATTGAACCAGATGACAAGAAGAATTATTACTTGTGTTCATTCGGTATTGTGTGTATATTTTGAAGGCAGGTGTAGATGGTAGTTTGTTGCCATTTTGTCGTCCTACAAGTAGGGTAGATATTGTGTAAAGTTTCATAAAGTTGACAGTAAATTTTTGGTAGTGAATGTGGATTTCTCCAGACAAACGTTCTCCAGACATTCGGCAACAGTTTTAACGTTTTTTGTCCAGGGGCATTGCAATATCATTGAGGCTTTTTTACCTCCACGTCACTGGAGGGACAGCGCATCTGAAGCTTTCTCATTCCTCAAATCGTAGCAAAGAGAGGGCCACCTGGGGACAGTTTGTTACAGACATACAGAAAAACAGGGAGATAGTCATCAGTAACTCACAGCATGATTAGTCATTTTTTTGCATTAGATAAATAATATATGCTTTCGATTATTGTTACATTATCTTTCTACATTGGTTGCTCCATCATTTGTGTTCAAATATCTTTTGCTTGAAGCATGACAACACTGTTATGCCATTTGTTAGCCCATCTATGGTGTTAACCATCATGGGGTAGTCGACTTCAAGGCCACGTTACGAAGTCCACGTTACGTAGTTGTTTTGAATACACAACATGACATCTTAAACTTGATCGCAGAAGCCTGAGAAAGGTCTTCCATTGCCTTAAACCTGCAGATACCCTGGTCACACGCTCTTTGATCCACTGCAGTGGCTTAGAAATCCAAATGAAACTGTAGCGTTCACGGAGCGTGGACGCTATCCCACATTTCATCTGATCAGGACGCCTCGGGAGGATGCGTTCAAAGAAGCCGGAGGTGGAGAGAGCGTTTCGGGGTGGACACGCTCCTCAGCTCTGAGCTCAGGAAGCGCGTAAAGGCAAAGGGAGTGATTGTACCCGCACGCTTCTGGATGGCAGACAAAGAGACTGCTCTCCCTCTGATGCCCTCCCACCAGAGATGCCCCATCTCTTTGGTGTGGTCCTCCCATGTTCCTTCGCTCCAGGCGCTGGCCATCGATCGGCTTAGCCTGATGGATGTGCTCGCTGGCTGTCTCGCGCGCTCTTGCAGAAAACACTCCAGTTTTATTATCACCTCTTATCCGAGGCACAGCAGGAGGAAGGTGTTAGCATAATGCACTGTGTTTATATATACTACATACACAGCACCTAGCTTCTAATAAATTGTTTTTTTTCTCAATACTAGAGGATCAAAAAAATGACAGACAGCCTACCTTTAATTAAACTGCATTTATCCAGTGGGGGTGGGGGATTACATTAAGAAATAATTTAACATCAAAACCTGTGTGCCACAATTATTAGCACTCCTGCGGTCCTATTTTGGTTTACTGGTGCCCGTGTCCTCGGCGTAAATCTAGACTAGCGTGTTTGGGGCCGTGTTGTACTTCTCTGGGCATTGCAGGTCATGGAGCTGCCTCGCCACCAACTCATCTGACAATTTGGTAACAGAAAGTAGTCTGCACTCACAATGGGCGCATCGTCATTTTGGTGCCGGGGCTATGGCCTAGTTCAGCGTGTTTTGGTATACACGCTATGCCTCGTTGGGCGGTAATGCCTCTCCCACCAGCGTATCTGCAGATTTGGTTACCAAAGGTCGACTACATTTTAGAAGTAGGCCTAACTTGTGGTGCAGGTGGTGTGAGGCAATTTTGGCGCTCCGCAGATGTGTGTGGTTGATGTCATCGGATTTCATTCGTAACCCTTGTGCTGCAATTTCTACGATGTTTGTAACACATGGGTTACCCCATATGTTACAATTTCTACAATTTTTGTAGATTTTTGCGTATTGTCATCTTTAAATCAAAGACACAGCATAAAAAGTGTGTGATATGAAATATTCCAATTCATGTTTTATTTATATAGATTTATATTTATGTTTTGGTCATAGCACAATACCGCTTTTATTGTCCATAGAGGGCAAAAATACAAAGAAAAAAATAAGAACTATATGTGTATGTATAGCACTGATGCCACTGAACATGTCGAGTGGTTGAAAGTGAAATAAATATTCAGGAATAATACTTTTACAGTTTTTGTAAAATTGTATGTTGCGTTATATCAACTTATTTAGATCGACTGCAGCACATGGGTTTTAAATATGACACCAGCATGGACAGTCCCTGGTGGAATTGTTGGGTCGCACACAGACGCACGATCGGATGAGCAAGTTGGTCTCCAATTGCCCATGTCCAATGTATGGTGGACTACATCATCCGCAAGGGAAGATCTTGCAGTTCACATGCCAATCTTATACACGGATCCCAGCGACTATTTGTTTATCCACATGGCACTGAAGGATGCCGCTTGGATTGCCCGTGAATTGGCAGCATGAAACCCTGATCGGAATACCCCGAAGATATACAGTAGATGTTTGTATGCGACCGCAAGTCTAGCACTAGTCCGTAGTGGACACAAATCAAGTTTCACTTTGTTTTTTCACAGCACAATCCCTTAGATTCAAACTTGTGGCTAGTGGGAATGCCACTCGCCGTTTTCCGTCCAGCATCTAACACTCAAGTGCCCGGACGAAAGGGCGGCTCATTTGTACAAGCTCTTGTTATTGATTTTCTTTTAAATACATTTTGTTCAGCCACCTGAGCATTGGATGAAGTGTCGATGACAATCAACTTCATGATGTTGCCTGTGGGTGTGAGGCAAGGTGTCAAGAATTAACCTGTTACATCATAAATATACTGGGCCAGTGCCGGTTCTAGCAGGGCCAACGCGTGTTGTTGAGCCACCACCCAAAAAAGGCTTAATGTCAGAACCCGTGTTAGTGTAAAAGCACTGAGGGAAAACCTGGGGGTATGACAGATATGTGAATTTATTTTTTTATTTTTAAGAAATCACACTAAATTGTACGAACACAAATATGTAAAATCTGTAAGATGTCAATCGTTACATTATATTTGAAGGTACAGCTGCAAATGATGTGAAAGATGTAAAGTGAAATCAAATTTTATGAAGCGGGTCCAGATAACACATGCCATGTTTCAAGTTTTTTAAGGTCATTGAAATTCATCAATTGTATTTATTTGTTAATTATGCAATCAGATCAGTGCGCAGAACATATAATAAGAAAATATATTTTACAGTCCTTCTTATCAAGCAATTTCTATACTGCAATTGCACCAATTAGGTGGAATGACCCTTAAGTGTAATTAATGCATTTTATTTGAACCATTATTGAAGCTCAGTTTTGGTATGGTCCAGTCATCTTACATGTTCTCCGTGAACCAGGAAGTGGCCTGCTTATACGGCACTATACAATATCCAATATTCAAATGTGTATTGGCTCCAGACCAGTGGTTCTTAACCTTTTTAGAGGTACTGAACCCAGCTAGTTCATATGCACGTTCACCGAACCCTTCATTAGTGAAAAGTAAATATATACATTGATATACATTTCAAATTCAAGATATTAAAAAAAACGCATTGGTTAAAAACAGAAAAAGGTAAACATTTCAAGAGATAAGTATACGTTTTTTTTTTAACGTACTATCACGACAGTCACACATTGACGACGAAGCAAACAAAATTTCCCACAGCATTGATTGGACAAGAAATGTAATGTGATCATCGGCAGCCAGTGATGGCCAAGTAGGCGTGTCATAACTAATTAACATGTTGTGTCGCCTGTATTTTACCCTCCATGGCAGAGGCTCCGATGAACCCCTGAGACTGATTCACTGAACCTCTAGGGTTCGATCGAACCCAGGTTAAGAACCACTGCTCCAGACAGTAGCAAACGCTCTGAAGTTTCCAACTTATTTTTCATTTGCTTATATTACAAATATTTCATGATATATTCCACTGCTGCTTTTGGGGCTTCAATGACCAGATAAGTGCAGTGAGTATCTCTGAGAAATCGTTTGTGTAATTCATGAGCGTGTTTCATCATTGCATTGAGACGCTCGTCGGCACCGTACACAAATTCCTCTGCGTACTGCGCACCATCCACCAGTGAAACTTTAGCTTAGTTTGTTGTTTACTTTCGCAAATGAATAGTTGGGTGTGACCTTAGGCGGGGATTGATGAGGATTCACAGTGGCATGTTTTTGACTTTTTTCCTTAACTTTATAATTGTCCTTGCTGCCCACCAGGTGACCAGTCATCCCGAACCCGTGTCCCAGTCTCTGAGCCTCCAGCAGCCCCAGTCCCAGTACAACATGCCCGACAGAGACAAGCAGCTCATGTTCTCTGAATTTGAAGATCTCAGTGCCTCCTTCCGCAGCCTTTACAAGACCGTTTTTGAGCAGTCCTTCAGCCAGCAAGGTAACTGGCATTTCAACACCTCTTTCCGTCAAAGTCAGCAGGATGTTGTTCAGTAGTCACAAATGTTGGTCCTTTCAATATTTATGATTACAAATCCTCACAGATGCACATGGTCAGGTTTGGGTTCATGGAGATATTGTGTCACATACTATAAGAGCAATAAGACATTTTTCATTATTATTTTCTAAATACATAATTTATGGATGTCACTGAGTTGTGTAGGCGTTCCTAATGAAAAGCCCGCTGAGTGTTCCTTCGCGTAAATGTCATCACACCGGAGAGCTTTTTTTGGGGTAGATTGATCTTTCAAACGGCACATTTGGACTGAGGATATCAAGTAAATAACACGCTGTTTGACTTTAGTTTGTCATTCCCTTCAATGTACTCACAGGCAAATTGAAATGTACATTCTTGTGGATATAGCCTGGTTAAAATGTTCAAAGTTATACAATGTTCCCCCGTGGTTATCGACAACCCACCTTCCCCCCTAAAAGGTTTATTTTATATAGATGCCACATAATAGCGGCAAAGCACACTTTTGTCAAAGTGAAGCTCCTCAACTTATTTCAACTATTATCTTGGCACCAAACTATGACTAAAACCAAAATAACAAGGATGCTTGTACCTTGGTGCACACAATGCTGTACAACCGCAACGAGGAAGCTGCGAATAATCTTTCATAGGTGAGATTGTTTATTTGTCTCTTTTAATCAATCATTCTTTTTTATAGCACATGATGTAATGTCAGCAATAGCAAAAAAGGAAACCTTGGGAAAGTTGTTTTACAAAAGAGCAAGCTGTAACTTATTTTCAGTATTCATGCATTGCCTTTGATGGGAACATTTCCCCAACTGACACTGTTAGTATAATATGTCTGGCCGGGCAGTACCATCTACATGCAAATGACGTTGCAGCGAGCACACAAACCACTAGAGCTGTTAGCACAAGCCGTCTCCAGGACAAGTTTGAAGCAAACCAAACTTGATCAAAGGACTGACGTCTGACAAACACACCGATTCACTCGCCAAGTAGTTGCCGTGGAATGTAGACTACTACTGATGAGAAAACGTTAGAAAACGTAATACAGATGGAAACGTGACAGAGCCTAAGTTTTCAACTGCCGTGCATAACCATTGAAAGCCAGTAAGTACTGTTCTGAAAAAAATGGCACTTCAACTTTAGGTCTGCTCAGTTCGAGCCACAGATGTTTTTAAACTGTTTTGTATTGAAATGCAATTAAATGCATATTTTTTTTCAGATTACAAATATTCACATCAGTGTCTTTGCTTTTACATTTAAATGAAAAAAAAGTTTCATTTTAGGCCAAATAATGATTGCTGGAGTCTATCCTAGCTGACTTGGGGGCAGTAGGCAGGGTACACCCTGAACTGGTTGCCAGCCAATCGCAGGGTACACATCGACAAATGTCAATGTATATTTTTTACAAATGCACGATAACTCTCTGTCAAAATTCATTCGCATGCCTCGTAACATTTTTAATTGAGGCAAATGAAAAAGCCACAATTAAAGAACTTGTGCTTCATTTTTGTCAAATTGCACGAAAAGCCTGCTGGCATCTGTTTCTCGTCAGCATTGAAATATTTTCCCCATGCAGGCCGTGTTTCATCCGGGAAGCGTGTCCAATCCCCCTTGTAATTCCGTTGTGTTGAGCTTCATCTGTCACCATGATGGAGACATGTTCTACTGTAATATGTAGCAGCAGAGTGTGTGGATATGTGGATGTGGAGCATGGCTTTCAAAAAAAAAAAAAAAAAAGACCGGCGGAAGAGTCCCACTAGTACAAAATGCAGTTTTGCTCCTAATCTGATTGACTGATAAACAAAGAGCATTTGACAAGCGGGTTATGAGCAAAGTCGTCTGAGCTTTCTGTGCATAACCTACTTTTCACCAATCAAATGCATTTCATGCTTTTCAAAGAGCTCTTCTCCCTTTAATCTATCATCTGTGTTTCATTAAGGTTGCTACCTTTTTTGTTTGTGTACATGCGCATCCAACCCCTCATCAGACAAGCTCCAGCAATTAAAAAGCATAAATAATCTAGTTGGAGAATTTCACACATGGGCCGCCGTGTCGATAGCGAGCTAATTCGCCAGCTTTGATAATAGGTAATGAGCTGGCATTGTTATTCTGCCGCTGCGTTTAATTGCTTTCTGTACTTCCCCATTTGGACAATGGTGGTTCTGATAAGAGAGATGCACCTTTGGCAACTCTGCAGTAGGTGTTTGCGTGACGATTGCGAAAGCCTGAAGAGCACTTCACAGACAAGGTTTCGATGCACATATGGAAGAGGATGGAATATAACCCGAGAAATTTCCAGTTTTTGAAAAATACACCAAGTGGTATAAACAAATATTTGGAAAAATATTTGTTTGTCAGGTTGTTTTGTTAAACTCCGGATTTGATCTCTATTTGTTGGTTTGCGCTGTACTGCGGTATCATGACTTCCGTGACCAAGCTCATCAATCTGTTTTCCCCCAATGAAATACCTTTAATCCACTTCATACCCCCCAAAACACCAACATTTTATGTTTTTAATATAGGAGAATAGCACCGTATTATATAAAAACTTAATACAATATCAATAGAAACTTTTTTTTCCCACGCAACGTATCTGTTATTTGCTGAAAAATTCAACATTTGTTGTTCATGTGCTCACCCTCCAAAAGTCTAATTTAAAAAACATTTAAATGTATTCAGATTGGTGCAGAACTGCAATAAATTATGCAGACAGTGGTTTCTTATAATTTGACCCTATCATAAATACTATATATCGAACTCAACTCAAAACACCGTTTTAGCAATGTGTAACCAGTGTTCCCCCATGTATTCACGACTCACGGATTTACTTATAAATGAATTATGTAATTTATTTCTTGGAGGGGGGGGGGGTCGGGGCTATCCACCATTTTTTAAAAAGTTTTTTATTTATTTATTGTGCTCAGGTTTGTTATTGTGCCTATAAGATAGTGGCAGAGGACTAATTTTATCTAAATGAAGATCCTCAACTCACTTCATAGTTCCTTGGCACTAAGATACCACCAGATGGTGCCAATGCAACACTGTTGTTGTTTTGTGTGTGTGTGTGTGTGTGTGTGTGTGTGTGTGTGTGTGTGTGTGTGTGTGTGTGTGTGTGTGTGTGTGAGAGAGAGAGAGAGAGAGAGAGAGAGAGAGAGAGAGAGAGAGAGAGAGAGAGACTCGTGAATCCCGCATGCTGAGCCACTGTGTGAGTCAAAAGAAAGGCAGCTGGACCGTCTCAAGCGTGTAGCCACTTCAACACGGGAGCCATATCCCATTAGTGTAATAGTACTGTAAAGTTTGCTTTCTCCGGTCTGAATCAGTTGTGGAGTTTGCAAACAATGTGCTCCCACAGGGTTGTTTATGTAAAACAACTTTAATCTTTTGTTTCTTTTTTGGAAAGTGCAGAATCAATAGTTTCCCTTTTTGGGAGGGGAGTGGCGTTATTGAAGGATGGAGATAAGTGCCAATGTAGCATTTTGTGCCATTAGAAAGTACAGTGATGAATTGTGAGTTTAATCCATTCCCTGACTGTGCTTGTATTGTTTCAATAATTTTAGTTTGAATTTCTGTCACGCTTTCTCCTTCAATGCACATTGTGCTGCTCATTCTGGTATGTGCACCTACCTTTATAGGATGGATATACAGTACTGGAGAGTCAGCTCCTCTCTTGGCTTCTCAGTACAGCATTAATGTTAGTTATTCTTTGCAAAGCATAAATAATATATGCCTGTGAGTGTTGTTATATTGCACCAAGAATTTTAAACTAGTTATGCCATTTGTCACACAACAAATCAGTTGACATTGTTTCCGTCTCTTCGAGGTCACGAGGATTTAAACAGGAAGGTTTGCTGTGGGATCTACTGATTAAAACAGCACAAATAAACACAAAATTCTACAATCTATGAACCTAGAAGGCTATAATAGTGCAGAAAACATTAGTCATGTTCATTTTAAAAAGGTGACTCAAGATTGTCTTTCACACAAACTGTATATTGAACATTTATAACAATGACAGCTGCAAACATGTAAATGAGTGTTTCTCAAACATTTTCGACCAAGTCAAAGAAAATACTTAGTTCTCCAAGTAACGGCAACATTAAAATGTAGCAGGTTTGTGTGTGCATCAAAAAAAAGGCAGAGACTTCATTCCTAACACGAGTATGAAATATTATTGTAATCTGCTGTAACATGATGCAGGGTTTGACCATTAGGATTGCACTTAAATATAGGGAGGCAAAAAACCAGTCCTTAAAATGTATTGCAAGTAAATTAAATAAAAATTGGACCTAAATAAATGTTTCAGAACACACGGTATAAATGTTTAAATGCAAATTTATTGTACTGCACTAACACATTAAATACAACGGAACTGTAGTTTACAAATGTGTGTACTGTTATGGATTGGATATTTTAAAACAGACACATTTTGAACTTCTAATTCATTGATTCGTTGCATACCACTGGAGGATGCCCACAGACCACGAGTGGCACACTTGGAGGCTCACTGCGCTAAACTAATGTTTTCATGAAGTTAACAATCTGACCTGTTAACAAGCCAAAAGTTGACATGGTGGGAGAAACTTAATAGCACCTGACTTGATCCTGTTAGCTGCCGATGCAATCGCGAATGTTGTTGCGCTGCTGAAGCACACGCTGCATCGCAGAATACAAAAGAATCGTCTTTACCCGAGGTATTCCGTTTGAGGCATCAAGGAACACTTTGGATTTTATTTTGTAGTAATGAAGCTGGTTAGGGAAAATGTATCACAGTAAAAGTACACATTTACTTTTTTTATTTTATTGTATTTTTTTAATGTGGAGTACAAATGAAAGTTGCCTGAAATATTAATAACAAAGTAAATTACAGCTTGATGAAAATCTACTTGCACGTCCTTGATGAGCTTTACCAGCGCCACTAGAACAAAGGCTGGCCATGGTGCAGCTTATTAAATGTGATTTCCTGCTTTTCCCTATCCTTCTGCGATGCTATCTTTGGACTGCCGTGTGTCCGGTGACCACGGGAGTAATACGAGGACATCACAGCGTCTGGGAAATGCGTGTGTTTTGCGTCATTTGTCACCATTTTCGGTTATTTTATTGACAGAACGCTTATTCTGCTGTCAGTCACCGCAGAGCCAGATCAAATTGTTTTTCATGCTCGATTCATTTGCCAGGGAGAATGTGCCATCCCTATCTCCAACATTAGGTGTGTACTGTGTATACAAGTGCAATTTTCTGTGTCAATGCAAAAAGAGGGTAATGTGTCATTAGGTTTTGCTACAAAATATGCTAAATGTCTTGGTGCCAATTTGCTATAAAATGTCAATAGTTTCATGTTCCCACCGAATTTGTACAAAATACTTCCATCAAGTCAATTGTTCTCATGAAACTTTGCTCCATTTATGTAAAGAAAGGTTTTATCTACCCCTCAGATTTTTCAGTCAGAATGTAAAAAATGTATTTAAAGTTTCCATTACATTTTTCAACAAAAATGTTTATTGTTTCCAATGAATTTTGCTCTGACATATTCACAAAATGTTCTCATAAAATATGCTACATAATGTTCAAAATATGTTATTGTTCCCATCAAAATTGCCTTCAAAACAGTTGTGTTAGTAGTTAGTTCATAATTGTGTGGGTGTGTAGTTGTGAGCGACATTATGGTTTCATGCCTAGGAACAGTACCACAGATGCATTATTTACCTTGACGGTGTTGATGGAGAAGTACAGAGAAGGTCAGAAAGAGCGACATTGCGTCATTGATCAAGAGAAAGCCCATGACAGCGTACCCAGTGAGGAATGGTGAGACTACATGAGGAACTCTCGTGTGGCAAAGAAGTATCTCCGAATAATGCAAAACATTTATGAGGGCAGCAGAACAATGCAAAGGTGTCCTGTAGGTGTGAGAGAGGAGTTGAAGGAGGAGGTGGAACTGTGTAACATTTATTCGTAATGTCTGTAGTACACAGGTCTCAAATCAAGTGCAGCAATTTAAATGATATAAAATATTAAAGCAATTAAATGACATAATACAATAAATATATGATGATAAATAAACAAAAACAACCCACGGTACAACTGCATCAAGGATCCGCTCTCAGCCCCTTCCACTTTGCAGGAGTGATGGATAGGCTCACAAATTAGGTTAGACTGGAATCCCCATGGACTATGATGTCCGCGGATGATATTGTGATCTGTAGTGAAAACAGGGAGTAGGTGGAGGAACATTTAAAATAGTTGAGGCATGCACTGGAAATGAAAGGAATTAAAATTAGCCAAAGTAAAACAGAATACATGTACATGAATGGGGGGGGGGGGCGGATGAAGAGTGAGGTTACAGGGAGAAGAGATATTGAGGATGGATGGACTTTAAATACTTGGAGTCAACAGTCCAGAGCAATGGTGAGTGTGATAAGGAGGTGAAGAACTGGATCCAAGCAGGTTGGAAACAGGTGAAGGAAAGTGTCTGATGTGTTATGCGAGTCTCTGCTGGGATGAAGGGAAAATTTAAAGACATTGGTGATGTTGTGCAGCTGAGAGACAATGGCACTGAAGAGACAACATGACACAGAGCAAGAGGTGGTGGAAATGAAGATGTTGAGGCTCTCAATAGGTTAGATGTTGAATAAGAAATGCAGTCCAGAAATAAGGTGGTCTCTTGGTTGCGAGTGATTTTATTGACCTTCACGTTTCTGAATCCACAGTGCAGCGTAGCTGGCATATTTGTGTAATAAATGGCCATAATTGTCAATAATGGCGCTGTGTGTTTTGCTTTCTAGGTCTGATGGGAATACCATCAGACGCATCGCAGCAGAGCCACACGTCCTGCTCCTATCAGCACTCCCCCGGCGGCGCCATCAGCACGCAGAACAACATGTCCAACAACCAGCCCAACAGCCACTCCAACAACAGCGGCCAGGTGCCCCTCTCCCACCCGGCGCAAGCCCACCCCGGACACGGCTCCCCGCACGCACAGCACCTCCCACAGCACGCCGGCCCGCACAACCAGCACCCGCAACACGGCCAACACCCGCAGCACGGCCAGCACCCGCAACAGCACCCGTCCCACGGCCAGCACCCGCAGCAGCACACGCCACATCCCGTCCAACACGCGCAGCACGGCCAACACCCTCCGCAGCATCAGAGCCTCTCCCACCAGCCGCATCCGGCCCAGCAGCAGATGGCCTGCAATCCAGGTAACCTGGCCTGAAACCTGCGCCTTGTTTCTCTTCGCCCCATTCATCACGCACGCACAGACCAGAGGAGGTTGCTAAAATCTATTTTACATCTCATTTGTAGTCCCTAAGCGTGGAGAAGCTGTTCTAGGAGCGAAACAATAAATCATAGCGTTATTTATTATCTGAGGGGAGAACAAAGACAAGAAGCAGCCTTGTTGAGGGTTTTGCACAGTGGACTGGCGCCTCCTTATGGACACTTTGTCCACTTATATCCATCATAAACGTACAGACTGTATATTTATTAACCTCAGGCTGTTTTCATGAGCTGCACGCTTATTAAGGCATGTGTCACTTGGAAAGGTCGAACATTCCAATTAAATATTTCTAAAATAAATAAATAAGAAATATCCCCCAGAAATGTTTAATGCTCAGTTCACATTTTATCAAAATCTCAGGGAGTTGTTTAATTTTTTTCCCCATTTAATTATGCTTTAAAAATCTCGAATGAAAATCTTAAATGCTCACAATATATTTTGCTATCAGAATTACCAAAGGTAAAAAATTTATGTTAAATCTTCACAAATGTTTATTACTCAGAAGACATTGCTCTCCAAAGCCCCCCAAAAATGTTTACATTTCCCTTAAAATATTACCGGTACTGTCAAAGTCTCTCACCCAAAATATTTATTTACATTCAATTTTTATGTCAAAATCTTAGAAAATGTCAGACCATAAAATTGTGCCATAAAAATGATCGTGAAAATTGTTTGTTTTCTATTAGAATTTTTCACAAAATCTCCCCCAAATTTCTGTTTGATTAAATTTTACAATACAATACATCCTGATTTATATCGCGCTTTCACAACACAGTGAATTTAGCCATTAAACTTTGCTTCCAAAATGTCTCCCCAAAATGCTTATTATTCTTAAGTGTTGGAATAAAACTGTCTGGAGCTTCGATGTTAGTTACATAAATTTAATATAACAGTAATCTGTCACTTAATATGGGATCACATTATATTGTAATGCCTTAGATTAAGATATTTTAAGTATAAAATATTGCATCAATTATTAAACGATGGATCATAACTAAATGACAAAAATCAATGTGTTTGGCTCTCTGTTCTCATTTTATCATGCTGCCATATTCAATCTTTTATATTCTGCTGTTGATCATTTTATCAAAATCTCAGGGAGTTGTTTAATTTTTTTCCCCATTTAATTATGCTTTAAAAATCTCGAATGAAAATCTTAAATGCTCACAATATATTTTGCTATCAGAATTACCAAAGGTAAAAAATTTATGTTAAATCTTCACAAATGTTTATTACTCAGAAGACATTGCTCTCCAAAGCCCCCCAAAAATGTTTACATTTCCCTTAAAATATTACCGGTACTGTCAAAGTCTCTCACCCAAAATATTTATTTACATTCAATTTTTATGTCAAAATCTTAGAAAATGTCAGACCATAAAATTGTGCCATAAAAATGATCGTGAAAATTGTTTGTTTTCTATTAGAATTTTTCACAAAATCTCCCCCAAATTTCTGTTTGATTAAATTTTACAATACAATACATCCTGATTTATATCGCGCTTTCACAACACAGTGAATTTAGCCATTAAACTTTGCTTCCAAAATGTCTCCCCAAAATGCTTATTATTCTTAAGTGTTGGAATAAAACTGTCTGGAGCTTCGATGTTAGTTACATAAATTTAATATAACAGTAATCTGTCACTTAATATGGGATCACATTATATTGTAATGCCTTAGATTAAGATATTTTAAGTATAAAATATTGCATCAATTATTAAACGATGGATCATAACTAAATGACAAAAATCAATGTGTTTGGCTCTCTGTTCTCATTTTATCATGCTGCCATATTCAATCTTTTATATTCTGCTGTTGATGTTTTGCAGGTTTACTCTCTGACTGGTACCCCAATCTGGATGCACTGAAAGAAACCTGCCGCATTGCGAGCAGCTATAATTGGGCAGATGTGGACCTGTCACCTTTCCAAGGTGGACTCTTTAGTTTCATTGGTGTAAAATGTCCAAGACGGGACTGTGGCTTGAGTGACCTTTTTTTCCCTTTTGCCTGCTCAGGATTACGAGAGAGTATGAGGCAGGCCGAGTTGAACAACTGGTCGTTGGAGCCCACACAGATTGCCGACCTATGCTCGTCCATCAACCAGTTCTTCGCCCGCACTGGCGTCATCCCCCCGCAGGGGACGGTGCAGCCGGCCGTCTGCCACGCGCCCATGCATCCAAACAAACCCAGCCAGCACCTGGGCACAGGTTTGACACCCGACACCTGTCTTGTGCCAACAGTAGTTACCGCACTTACTTGTGTTCTACCGCTTGTGTCATTTGTACACATGTGGATGCCACTTTATAATAAGGGACATTTTGCTACTAAAGCTGCACGATGCTTGCTTGCCAAATAGTGAGGTTAAATTAAAATGCGCTGTTTTGCTTTTGGTCAAATTAATATAGTTAATAAGGAATGCAACACTAAACGTACCTTTTTGCAGTTACAAATGAGAGTAAATTCAATAAGTGGACTGTTCAAGTTTGACCACATTTGTACACAATGGATATAAAAAGTCTGCACACCCCTGTGTAAATGCCAGATTTTTGTGATATAAAAACAGAGACCAATTAAGATAAATCGTTTTGAAATTTATAACCTGTACAACTCAGTTGAATTGTAATATTGTAATCTTTCAAGAGGCAGCAGTAAAAATTAACAAATATGGTTGCACACTGTCGTACAGCTAGGATGTGCCTGTGTTCAAAAATTGACCAATCATTCAAACTTACGTTCAACGCTAGTCAGCACACATCTGCCACCATTTACGATGACTGACTCCAAATAAAGTTCAGCTGTTCTCATAGGCTTCATTATTGGTGTAGTCTTTCAGCTTCCAATGTATCTTCTTTTCTTCCACCATGACATGGTGCAATATGCTTGGGATTCGAAGCTTTCATTAGCAAAAAAAAAACAAATGTCGTTTGCTATGCTTGTCTGTCTCGTCAGGAAATCTCTACATGGACTCCAGACAGAGCATGTCTATGATGGGGCCCCCGGGGTATCCCCACATGCCCCCCATGAGCAGCGCAGGACCCACTATGACTGGTAAGACTTAAGACAGGATTCAAAACTTGCCTCCAGTCTTCCTGTGGGGAGTTTGCATCCTCCTATATTCCAAAAACATGCACGATTGGTTCATTGAAAAGTCACAAATTTTCATCGATCTGAATGTGAGTGCTTTGTAGTGTATCTGTGCCCTGCAATTGGCTTGTGAGCGGTCGAAGGTGCACCCAGATTGTCGCCCAAAAGTCAGCTGGTTGGAGGTTCCATCTTAGTCGCACCTCAACTGAGTAAAAATGCTACAGAAAATGGATGGATTGAAAGATAAACAACTGTATTTGTTGATGTTATTTGCTTACTCCCCAGGACACCATGCTCAGATGAACCAGCAGCACATGATGCCGAGCAGAAACTTCCAGATGCATCGCATGCCAGCCGATGACATCCAGGATGATTTTGACTGGGACTCCATTGTGTAGCCTCCTCTGATATATATATATCTATATTTTTTTTAATTTTGCAAACAAAAGGAGCGGAGAGCGAGAAGAGGAGGTGGTAGCCAGAGGAAATCAGGCTGGGCTAAAAAAGGCCATGGGAGGGCGAGGAGATGGAGGAAGAGGAACACCACCCCCCACACATAACCCCCTACTCCCCTTCTTGGTGGGTGGACATTAGACGGGCTGCCCTGAAACAGTTTTACAGAACCAGAAAAAGACAATCATATTAGTGGGACAAGTCTCCAGCCCGCCCCTCCCACCATCCTAAGCAAGGGCCTTTCAAAAACCCCGAGCCACACCCACTGCCCCCAACCGTTTAGCCCCCGCTTTTAGCCAAGCCACTCCACCACTGTTCTGTGATTTGAGCTTGTGATTCTTCTTCTCGTGTTGGCCTCATTTGCCTCGTGTATGAATTTAGCTCTTTTTTTTTTCCTAATCTTTTTATTGTTTTCTAAAAGAAACGCTGGCTGCCTCTGTGAGTCATGTGACTGTGCTCGACGGTGGAAGAGGGCCCCCATGTGGCTGGCGTCAAAGTTTGGATTATGCTAGCTAATGTTTTGAACAGGGTTTAAAAAAAAAAAGTCTTCAAGGCCTATCATTAACAATGTAAAACCAGAGAATGAAAACCAATCAGTGTGATCATACAAAGGAGTGTTTGGGCCACATTGAAAGGGAAAAAGAGTAAGATTGCAGGTAAAAAGTAAGCCTAATATTGTGAAGCTGTATTTTGTATTTTAATTTAACTCAATATGATGAGTGTGAAGCAGCAAGATACCAAATGTTAGTTTTGTGTTCAAAGGTGTAGACACATCCAAGTCCATGTCATTCTGTCCATCAATACTCGTTTAGGGCAGTGTTTCCCAACCTTCATTGAGCTAATACGCATATTTACAAAATGTCAGAAAAAAGTATGTCAACAATCTGAAATATTGATGATCTCATCTCAATTTATTCACAGTTTTACTTATTCAGTGTAAAAACTGGGCCAGTTTAGTATAACACAAGTGTGTGTGGTCTATAAATAGTAGCATGTGGACACACTAATTAATAGTGGAAGAGCATTTCATTGTTTAGCCTATCACTATATGTCACTGGCATAGATAGATGAACAAAGATGCATTACTTATCGTCAAGAACTAAATATTTAGGACCAATTCAGTAAAATTTGATAATGTCTCGCTCTCACCGTGGTTGGGAATCACAGCTTTAGGGATGGGCATAGTCTTTGATACATTGATGTTTAACAACTGATGGTTGATTAGTTGTGTCTGAAAGCGATGGAGGCAAAATGGAGTGCACTTCCTAGATGCAGTTCACAGAAATGCTGTCAGTTATCATCTACATCCACGTCGACACGTTCCTTAATATTTTCTGCCATTTGGATTTTTTATCAGTTATTAATAGAAGGCTAATTTTTCCGAGAGGTGATCAAGGAAATGCCCATCCCTAATTCCTTTTTATATCTAACAGCCTATTGATCATTAAAGGGCGTCAATTCTGAGAACCAGCACCCTAAAAGTGAAAAGCTTCACATCTGTAAAATTAAAACAGAATCCTCTCATAAAATATTATGACACGTTCTCAAGAGGAAAATGCTAGTCTAGCTAGCATTAGCCTGGAGAAACTACTAGTTAGCTTAAAGTACTCCACTGCCTCCCCTTAAGATTTCATTCATTCATTCATTTTCCGAACCGCTTGAACCACACTAGGGTCGCGGGGGTGCTGGAGCCTATCCCGGCTGTCTTCGGGCAGTAGGCGGGGGACACCTTGAATCGGTTGCCAGCCAATCGCAGGGCACCCCTTAAGATTTCATTTAGATTAAAGCTGCTACTGCACTTCCTTTGAGCACAACATCCATCCATTCACAGCGGAGCGAACGAGACAATGACAAATGACTACGCTTTATGCTAAGCTAAGCAAATACACTAAGATCATTTCCTCGGTTAGGATTAGTTTTCGATCATGTGATTAATATTTTTTTTGTCCTCCACGTTGAAGGTTGAGATCTGGAGGATAAGCTAGCCGACTGAATCATTTTTGATCAATTTTTTTTTTTTCTCTGTCTAATTGGAATCAGTTAATATCAACCTTGTTGTCATTGGAGATGCGGTATGTCTAACTGGCATACTAAAACTATTCGTGCAGCAAGGTTGTTTTCTACATAGATCTATGTTTCAATTAATTTTAATAAAATCCATAGATTACTGTGCATGTATGTATCATGCAATTTCTAACATTGCCAAACAGTAAAGCTTACCTTCAACAAACCGTTGACAACAAACACAGATGTATGGATATCTGTCTGCTGTGTGAAAACAATTTATAACTGAAACCGAACTGAACTTAAATTGGACTTAAAAAAATACAAATACATCATGGTAACATGATACACAGTTTGATTGTGTGATTGTTTCATGTACCACTAGAGGGAGCCTCTGCACTAATAATGGTACTCGTACCACACAGAATCACTGGTTCAGGGGGTTAATTAGGTTTAAAATTCGGCCAACGGCTTGCACTTAGATTCCTTGTCAGACAGCTAAAAATGTTAACTCTGATTAATGATCAATAGGCTCTATACTTGCCCTTTAAACGTGTCACTTTGACTTGTTTTTATATATATATATATATATATATATATATACATATAAAAATATGATTTTTCAACGCTATTTTGGGGGCGCAGGTTATGATGATAATTTATATTTGAGGTTTTGATGGAAGAACAACAGATTTTTGCGGAAATGCACACAAAAGAAAACAGGGTGACTGGAAGTTCTGGAAACTTCCATATTGGATGGGAGCTAAAACAACAACACATTCAATTTCTCATACCCTTGGTCATAAATATCATGTAAACAACAACAACACAAGCAGGTTTATGTCATACTCTGCATCCGTTTTCATGAAATCTGACGTTGAAGTTGTGTCCGGCTCTTGTGCAAGGGATGGCCATTTGACTTCCTTGATTGCCTACAATGAATTTGTAATATTTGAGAAATGGTTTTAATTGGATGTGAACAATCAGTGAATTCTGAATTCCTTTTTTCATGACGCTGTTGTATCGAACAGACTAATGCTGCCCAGACGAGTCAGTTCCCAGAGCTGACGTAATGTTGTCCTTTGCACGTCAAATGAGTTTCAACCCAGTAGTGAAAATTCCATTTTGCCTCAATATCAACAATCAGTTCCACACAATCGACGGAATTCTTAGTGATCAATCAATCGACTAATCGATGATTATGCGCATGCTTAATTTGTCTTCCCCTCACAGAGGCTGGTGACTCGAGCACCTTTCCCATGATTCCACATCTGGGGATTGAGCAATCCATCCCAGGGGATGCCATTCGACCTCCGTTTTACATTTAAACAAAAACACAACCATTTGCCATAGAAATTAATGGATTTGTAATTATTCTGGTCCAGAGTGAAACTAACTGAGCACCAAGATGATTTATTCATTGTTTGGAAACATTTGTCCCAACATGCTGACCTATTCCTTTAAAAAACCCTGTAAAGTGAATTCAGAGATTTGCTACTAAATGCATTCTTCATTTTTTAATACAGTTGTTGAAAACATGTGCAAAGACTGAACTGAGAACTGTGAAAAGATCGTAGTAGATTTAACGTTAAACAGTTTTGCGCTATTTTGGGTTCCCTCTTTTTATTATTATTATTATTATTTTCTTTTTTTTTTTTTGAGTGGAGAAAACACATTTGAGGCATCTGGCATAATTCATTCCTCCCCACAATGTCGCAGTTGTGACGTACAGCGAGCTGGGTTCACAATTGTCTGCTGTTGTGGCCGCTTTAGAGCGCCTCATTGTCAGCCATGAGTGTCATGTCGCGGAGATAAAGACAAAAGAGTGAGGAACGGGGATTTTCTTCATTTTAAAAAATTATTATTGTTTTTTATACTTGACAGACAGCGCCTGGACAGGTTTTGCCGCTTTAGAGCTCTCTATTGTCACGCAGATATATTTTCACAGCTCAAACATGGAGTAATGTGTAGACGTAAGAAGGTGCTAGGCAAAATAGCCTCCGTTTTTCCAGGACGTAGTAGAAGTATTTGATTAACAGTTGAGGGGGGGTGGGTGGCACGCCCACAACATTCGAGACCAGACATTGGCTTAATTTTTCATGATTTAGAAGCCTCATTTAATATACTTGCCCCTTTCATTTAAATTTGGCAAAGTCATGAACACAATTCTCTGTGATGTGTCAAATTCAGAACACATTTTCACTTTACAGGGACTTTAAGACATACAGTCTTGCCATTTAAGGTAAGGTTTTATGACAATCATTTTTAATAGTGCTGAGTGTGCAAAACAAGAATTAAAAAAAATAAACAGATGAGCACTTAACTAACTCTCCAGATTGATTTTGGAGCTCACCTTCCCATAGCGGATGTCACTTTGCCTTCTTTTGACAGACAGCACACTTGAGTTTAGAGCCAATAGTGACGTAGTGCACTCCAATTTGCCCCAATCGCTTCTAAGACTCAACTAATCAATTCAATTGATTGCCTACGCCCATCCTTCTTGTAAAATTTTATTGAGGTAAAATTTGTTTCACTTCTTCCAGGTGAAGATTGAAAACAATATTTGAAATGTGGCTTGAAAAAAAGGGACAAAGTGTAAGAAAAATGACTGGATCACTTTTTGTTGCTTGAACGATTGTGTGCGTGCTCAAGTGTGTTTGATGGTGTGATTCTTAAAAAAAATTTTGAGGTGGCGTCAAAGTTTGTTTTTACTTGCCAGAGAGATTATTTGGGAGTTTTGAACACATTATGAATGAGGAAAAAAAAAATCCCAGTTGGGGTGGTTTTTCAAGAGCAGCCATCATCATCATCCTAGTACTGTCAGTTGAAATGAATGGTCGTTTCCTTCAGTGCTGGTGTCGTCTTGCTTGTACATATTTGTCTTTTTCAATCACACCCCCCTCCTTTTTTTCCTCTTAGGGGGCAGGGGGGAATCCACGAAATAGACGAGGGAGGGGAAAGAATATTTTGTTATCGTCCAATCAGAGGGTGACAGTATGTATATATCTATATTGTATATATGTGATGAAAATGCATTGGCTTTTTTTTTGGGGTGTGTGTGACACTACCTTTTACCTGTACTATGTTTCTACATTCAGTGTTTCAGTGTTGATAATATATATTTGGTTTGTGTTTCATTGTTTTTATTTCGTCTTTGTCATTTCTTGTTTGTTTTCCTCCTACTTTGCCCCTTTTTTATTTTAAATTGCACGATTTATTACTTTTGCTGTCCGATGAGGTGACACAGCTACTCTTTGTATTCGTTTAGTGCTGTAAAGTGTTATTAGAATTGTCAATACCACCTGAAGCCACCCGTACCCAAGCCCCCTCCTTGCCCAATATGCATGAATGGCACTTACAAGAAATAAAATATGGTAACTTCACTGTGGAATTTTGTGCTGTTTGAGCCTTCTTCGTGAAGACATGTAACCACCTCCAAGGCATTGGACACATCTTTAGCATTACATACTTTGCTGAGTCACTGGAAAATGAACACAGATTACCTCCCCCAAAAATGCCTCTCAAAAAGTGAAAAGAAATGCTAGTCTCAAACCAGGATTTCGGTTAGACTGCTGGGGTTTCAAGTGAGGGGTTAGCATTTGAAATTATGGTTTCAGTCTTGGGGGTAATTGAGTCAAATTGAGGTTCCAAAGCAGGGTTATGTTTTCATGTCAGACTTCAAGACTGGGTTGTGTTTCGAATTTGAAATTCAAACCCAGATTAGCGTTTCAATGTAGGATCAAAGCATGTTAAAATTTTCAAATTAGAGTATCAAATTAGGGTTTCAATCTAAAATTTAGGGTTCCAAATTGGCACTTCAAGGCAGGTATAGGATTTCAATGTAATATCACGGCAGGGCTAGGGGTTCAAGCATAGATTATGGTTTCAAATTAAGATTTCAGGCAAAGTTTCATGTATCAAGATAGGGTTAGAGTTTCAAGCCTGTGTTATGGTTTCAAATTAAGACTCCAGGCAAAGTTTCGGGTTTCAAATGTGTGTATCGAGCCAGGGTTAGGGTTAAAACATACCATGCCAAGACAGAGTAAGGGTTTTAAACTTGGATTTCAAACCCAGGTTATGGTTTTAATTTCAGGTTAAAATTTAGATTAAGATTTCAAATTAGGGTCTCAAGGCATGCTAAGAATTTCAATTTCAATCCAAGTTTAGATTTAGGCACATGAGACAGAGCCAGGCTTTGAGGTCTGAGTTAGGGATTCACAGAAAATGATATCCATACTTCAAATTAGGGTTTCAAAACGTAGTGAAGCATTTTAAAGTGGCGGCACAAGACAATTTGGTGCTTTTGAACTAGGATTTCAATGTTGGGGTTATAAAACTGAAAGAGTGCTTGGTTTTAAAATTTGGTTTAACATTCGTAGACTGCTGTACAATGTAGACTATATGCGCTGCTAACACTGTTTATGCGTGGGGTCCTTTTCTTTCTTTTCTTTGGCATTTGTGCCGCTTACATGTTTGACGTATTAACCAGGTTAAAAACGAAGCAAGTCAAATCGCGTAACGACAATAGGTAGCAAAGTCAGTCTTTTTGGGCGCAGACATGTTGACATGTAAGGTACCAAAGTGCACCGTGAACGCATCACAGCCAGATTAGATGCTCGCCGTCCCAAATCTCCCCCCGGTGTGGAGAGGCGGCGAGGCGGCGTGTGATTGGTCCTCCGGCTCATCCCTCACTCTTGGCAGCCTATCGCGCCCGGAGACGAGCTGCTGGCTGGCTGCTGGTGTGATACAGCACCGTGCAAGGCGAGCCGAGCCAACCCCGAGATAACAGCTGCACCGGAGGAAGAAAGGGGAAAATTGCCGAGGTGAGGCCTCTTTTTTGTGTGTTTAACAGAGGTCGGGGCACTTTTAAGTGGATTTGACACGCGTTTTAAGAAGTCTGCTTTACAACAACGGACACCTCCGCTAAATTCGCCGCGGTGTGATTTCTTAGCACTTGGGAGCTAAGTTGAGCTAGTAGCTAGCATTGAGAGGCTAGCTGATGGTTGTGGAGGGAGTAGGAAGAGGAGAAGGGGGGGCTTTCTCCACTTTTATACCCGATATCAAAGTTGTCGCTGTGGCTACTGAATGACGCCCCAAAGTCGTTACGCTAACCGCTTCTTTCGGCAGTCGCCCGAACTCTGCTCCCACGCCTCGCCAGCGAGCCCTCCCCCCGCTCAAGCTGCTCCTTGTCGAGGATGTGACCTTCCTGAGTTCCCGAAAAGCATGAAAGCCATCCATCGGAGAGCCTCCTCTTGGTGGTGGCCTAGCGCGGCGAGCTAAAGCTAAGCCGAACGCCCGACTCTCCACCTCCTGCGCCGCGGTTGCTGGTTACTGCCCCCCTCTCTCCAGCCTCGCCGGTATCGGGTAGCAAATATAAATACCACCCCGTTTCGAACGTTTGTGGGGAGTATTCGAACCGAGCCGGCCATCTCTTTGCTTTAAGTCTACGGCGGAAGAACCAGTCGATCAGGTTGTCAAGTCTGGCGAATGCTAAGCGAAGCTAGGCGGCTAGCCCGGGACACCTCGGTGCATGGAAGCAGATGGTAAACTATTTTCTTACGTCTCAGTTGAAATCAAACATAATTCCATTAAGACACGTCAACCCCCTCTCGTGCGTCCAATGTAGTAGGATATCATTTACAAGTTTCTCCGGGAACCCCATCCAAGCAAAACGCCATTTCTGTAAAGTTGTGCAATCGTGTAAAATCATTTGTATCCCATATTTACTCTGAATGATGTACAATCAAACAAGGAGATTGTTGATTTGAACACATAATGTTCAACTGACTTGGGAGGAAATGCCTCGCAGTGTGCTGTGAACTTTGGACGCAGTTTTTTGTCAGTCAAAGATAAATGGATCTTGCTGCTAGGCTCTTGTGACATGGATGAGTCTTCCTTCTTAGCTCCTGTGTGAGTTGACTCTAAATGCTTGGATTGTTCTAAATTGGGGTATAAAGCCAGAGTTAGGGTTTGAGGCACATGTTTCTTTTTCAAAGTAGAATTTCAATGTGAATGGGTAGGGTATCAAAGTAGTGTGTAGCCAGGGTTATGATTTCAAAGTAGGGCTTCAATTCGAGGTGAGGATGTGACGCCTGGGTCAGGATGTTATGACATGGTTGGAGTTTCCAGCAAATTTAGGTTTCATACTTGGAATCAAGCAATTTAAATTCAGATTTCAAGAAAACTTGAGGGTTTTCAATTAGGGATTCAAGCCAAAGTTTGGGTCACAAGGTTTCATAGTAGGATTTCAATGTGAAAAGTAAGGTTTTACATCTGGGTTAGGTATTCAACTGAGGGCATGAAACCTGGCTAAGGATTCAAGCAAATTCAGGTTGAAAACTTGGGTTTCAAGCATTTGAAGTTAGGGTCTCAGGCATCTTTGGTAGGAATTAAATTTAGGTATGAATCCATCATATCAAACAACGCTTAGGGTTTCAAGTAGGATTCCAATTTAGCAGTCGTCTTTCAAATTAGGATTTCCAAATACAAGTAGGATTTCAAATTGGGGTTCCTTGACTGAGGTTGGTTTGAAACTAAAGGTGTCAAGACACGGTCAGAGTTTCAAATTAGGGTGTCTGGCCAATGTTAGGATTTCAAACTTTGGTTTCACATCCGGGTTTTCAGACAAGTGCAGAGTTTCAAAAAAGATTTCAATCTTAGTTTTAAGTCAGGGCTGGGTTTAGAATTTAGGGTGTCGAGCCTTGGTTAGGTTGTCTAGACGGAGTTAGGGTTTCTGATTTGGGATTCAAGCCCGACCCAGGGTTTCAAATTAGCTATTCAAAGAGAGGTTATGGTGATCGAATGTGGGTAAGCGTTCAAAGCAGACTTCCAAGACAGGGTTTCAAATTAAGAGTTTCTAACCAGGGCTGAGCTTTCAATTATGATTTCATACTTGGGTTTGGGTGAAGTGATGGTATAAAGCTTTAAGGCAATTATACAAATTGTGTCGTGAATCTGTAATTGTATCACATGATTTGTGGGCTTCTGGAGGGCAAAAATTGTGGATCCCTGTAGGCTTGCATGAATGTGATTCAACTACAATGAACCCGTCTGACTTGGTCCGCGTTGACAGCATGCAGTCATGAGCTGTGTCCTTAAGTGCATGCATACGGGATGACTGACCTCACACAAACTCCCCCGCTGTGCTTTGATTTTGAATTAGGCTTTGTAACGCTGGGTCACGTGACCTCCTGGCCGGTCACGATGGACTCCAGAATAGCCAGTGAACGCGTCACTCACTGAAGCATCATTCTACCACTAATTATTCCAGTAAGCCATAAATACAGAACAAATAAAAAACAGAAACTATGGCAGGAGCTTTACGTGCTGCACGACGACGTGTTCTTCAGTGGCTGTGCAAACGAGTTCATTGTGTGCAGTTCTTGACCTCAAAATCTTTTGTTCGGACATCGTCAACTGAGAATTCCCCCTGTATGACATGCGTGAACTGTACAGATACTGTTTTAAGTAACATTTTAGTTGGCATACGGTAGGTCAGCATTTCTTAGTGTTTCTCAGTATTAAATCAGGATGTTTCTAGGTGTCCAAAAAAATGCAAAAATGTGGCAAAAGTTGTTGATCTTTTCTCTGTGTG